ATGTTCGAACATTTAACTTGAATCATAAAAAGAAATTATTATTTTTAGATACAAATGTCTATGGCCAGTAGTGGAATTCTCTGACTAATTTTTTGAGTTACCGACAAAAGTCGCTTTATAATTTCGGTAATTAAAGAAATTTGTCGGTAAGTTAGCGTAGAAAACAAAGTAGTCTCTCACACTTACCGATTTTAGTCGGTAACTCAAAAAATGAGTTAGAGAATCCCACTACCGATAAGAGTAAAACATTAACAATCTGATGGACGTCATCCATTTTGAAAACAATATTGTGTTGCAACTATTGTTCCCTGCGGCTAAAAAGAGTTTGACTTTGTTCACTTCAACCGGTTAAGTATAACTTCAGCTTGACTCCGACCCATCAGGTGTTCATACAAACCCATTTGACGATTACATGTTACGGTCAATAGTTACAGACATGCATATGTCTGTCGTCATTGTTCTTTTTGTCATTCATTGTTTGACAAATACACACACCTGGGTGTATATATTTATCTCACTTAGCCATCACCCGAGTGGAGTAATCAAGCAGTGAAATTTGTACCATTGTACGACCCTGAACTCGACAACTTCTGCCAAAGGTAATTTGCAAACGGTGTGATGTGAACATTTTAATTACCTTCTATTATTTGATGCCACACATCAAGATTTAATATGGGCATATATTCATGCGAAGATATTCGTTGGAGTCCTCGCGATAGCATATTAATACAATCAGGCTAAATCACACCTGCGGAGTGCAAGTGTTGCCGAAAATATTGTATATTTTCACCAAGTCAATGAAGTACTTGTTGCCGATTGTGAAAGTACCTATTTGTTTTTTAACCCATCACTCAGCCAACACAACGAAACCCAAGTTACTTGTAAGAAAAAATGTAGCTTTTAATAATTGTTAGTTCGATGTCTTCAATATTTTGAAAAGAGTTTTGACAATGGTACAATAAAATCAAGGTAGGACTATGATACATACCATTTGATTTCAATTTTTTTATTCTCTTGGCCTAATATGTCGACTTTATTTGTTTATGTGTGTGTATTCTTTTCAATAATAAAACCAGTAAGGAAAGCTCAAAAGTCGGGCGGGGCCGACTATATGATACCCTACACCACTATGCATATTTAGTAGAGCTCTCGTAAAAAGGTTTATACGGTGCATTTCAGAGCTCTATGAGATATTTGGTACAAAATCAAAATCTATCTAATTCTATCTAATTCTATAGCTATCTCTGAACCGGGGTTCTCCAAATTTTACGTATTAGCTTCTAGACTGAATTCGGTCTTATGTACGAAAATTCAGGTGATTTGGGCTGATATTGACCATTTAGTGCACATTTAACCCGAAATCGGATGAAGATATATGTGGGAGCTATATTCAAATCTGAACCGATTTCGATAAAATTTAAAACAGCTATTCCTGTGCTCCATCTGATACCTGGTACCAAATATCACGGTTGTGGAGTTTGGTGCCCAATTAACCCGAAATCGGATGAAGATATATATGGGAGCTATATCCAAATCTGAACCGATTTCGATAAAATTACAAACAGCTTTTTCTGGGCTGTATCTTATATCTGGTACCAAATATCATTCTTGTGGAGTGCATATTACGAATGTGAGAGGCTTAAACACCAAATCGGATAAAACATATATATGGGAGCTATAGCTGTTTCTGAACCGATTTTCTCCAAATTTGTTGCACTTGCTTTAAGGCTAATCTCGGTCACATGTGCCAAAATTCGGGCCATTTGGGCTGATATTGGCCATTTGGTGGTCAATTAACCCGAAATCGGATGAAGATATATATGGGAGCTATATCCAAATCTGAACCGATTTCGATAAAATTTAAAACAGCTATTTCTGTGCTCCATCTAATACCTGGTACCAAATATCACGGTTGTGGAGTGCATAGTAGGAATGTTAGGGACTTAAAGATCAAATCGGATGAAAGATATATATGGGAGCTATAGCTATATCTGAACCGATTTTCTCCAAATTTGATATACTTGCTTCTAGGCCGAACTCGGTTGGGTGTGCCAAAATTCAGGTAATTTGGACTGATAGTGGACATTTGGTGCACATTTAACCCGAAATCGGATGAAGATATATATGGGAGCTATATCTAAATTTGATCCGATTCTCACCAATTTCAATAGGGTTCGTCCTTGGGCCAAAAAATATTGTTTGGAAAATTTCATCTCAATCGGATAATAAATGCGACCTGCATTTTGTTCACAAGAATACATGGACAGACGGACGGACGGACGGACGGACAGACGGACGGACATACATAAATCGACTCAGAAAGTGATTCTATGAAGGTTCTCAAAAGTAACTATGGGTCTAACTCGTTTCCTTTTCCATGTTACAAACAAATGCACAAAGACATAATACCCTTACCACTATGTGGTGTAGGGTATAAAAAAATGCTCAGAAAATATTCAAATTCAAATGATTATTGCAACGTATGCATCGACAAAATCTACAATTCTTAACCTTTAGAAATATATAGAATAGGATTTTATACATTTTAACCTTTTTCTTTAGTTTTTGCGGTTTTCGATTATTTATTCAAAATCAATGCAACAGATTGTTTTGTTTTTTGATTATTTTGATAGTAATTCTGATATTACAAGCCAAACAGATAGACCTCTACAGGGTGAGATGAAAAAAACTGCAACCAACTACAGACTGCTATCATTTCCAAGCTACTCGTCCGACAGCTGTTAAAATTATTCCAGTGACAGCTCATTATATTGTTTACAAGCGTACAAAAGCATTTTGGTGAAATTTTTCCAGAAAAAAAGTTATTCCTGGAGGAATTCAAGCGTGATAGTGTGATTTCTTTATATTTGGCTGAAAACCCACAAGTGGCTATCGTTACAGCCCTCCATCATTTAAATGTGAATAAATCTTTTGTGCCTCATACCGTGATACTGGTAGTGTAGCCCGACGTCAAGGAAGTGGACAGAAGAAAACAGCAACATCAGCAGAAATGGCGCAAACATTTTTGCCGAAGACCTTGGACATTCCAACAGAACTCAGCACCATCGCACTCAGCACGCGCCACCCTGAAATGGTTACAAAATGAGGTTCCTCGCTTCATTTCCAACGCACAATGGCCACCAAAATCTCCGGATACCAATCCATTGAACTATTGTGTCTGGAGTATTTTGGAAAGAAAAGTTTGTTTTAAAAAATACCAAAGTGTCGATCATCCCAAGCAAGCGCTTCGCCGGGAATGGGCCAAAATACCGCAGAGCAACATTCGGGCAGCGCATAACGGTTTCATTGGCCGTTTGAAGGCCGTAATTCGTGCCGAAGGTGACCAATTCGAACAAATCTCAACTTATTCTAAAATTTTATTCAATAAATTAAAAAAAAAAATTGTAAAAATTATGGCGTTTGACTTCGTTGCAGTTTTTTTTTATCTCACCCTATATACATGCAATTGTTTTCAAAGTTAGACTACCTTGTCTTCATTGTACCATGGGTTTGACCATCCCATTCTATTCACAAAACCAATTATGAATGTGGTTGTTGTTACGATTGTTGTAGTTTAAGCTTAAGGCAGCATAAATAAAATGTGTCTTCCTAAGATATTTAACATTTAAAAAAAAAAAAATCATTACAGAATCTACTACACCTTGTTCAGGTATAATTCTAATCATTTTTTATTTAATTCGTAACATTTCATTTTTAATTCGAATTATTTCAATTGTGATTAGAGAATTTCAATTGTATTTTGAATTATTACAATTGTAATTTGAATTATTTCATTTGTAATTCGAAAATTTTCTAATTGTGATTAGAATGAATCCATTTGTAATTCGACGACTAGCTGTGCAATTACATATTGAATCATCCGAATTACAATTAGAAAATTTCGAATTACAAATGGAAAAATTCGTATTATAATTTGAATACTTGAATTGCAATCGATATAATTCGAATTACAATTGGAATTCTCGAATTACAATTCGAATAATTTGAATTACAAACAGAATTCTCAAATTACAATACGAAGGATTCGAGTTCTATTTGTAAGAATTCTAAAATCACAAATAAAATATTTCGAATGACATTTGAAAAAGTTGTAGTTCTGCAAGTTTTTTTTCAATATCATAAAGAAAAAATCGTTTATCGTAGTAAATTTATTTTTTTATTTATATATTTAACACACTATGAAGATGAGTCTTATTTATGTTGCCTTATGCCATGTTTACGTAAGAACTTTTTGCAGAGTTAACCTACCTCAAAAGGATTTATTTGAAGTATAAGTAATGGATATGATAAGTTTAATCCAAATGCAGTGGGACAACCCACTTTATGTTGCTTAAACATGTAAAAAACACAAAAAAAAACATTAACATATAAAATCTGCTAGTACAAGGTTCTTTCTTTGTACTTGTACTTCACTGAAAGAAAAATTATATACTCTCACAATTTTTGATTTCTTATTCCTGACATGAGGGCAAAACAACTGTGGCTTTTACAGAAATCCGGATTAAACTTTTATCACAGCAGTCCTTGTGGATTGCACTACCCAATGACCTACCCCTATAATCACCAACATACGTGGATCATACTGGCCTACAGGCCTTAGTACGTGAAGAAACACAAAAATCACTATTGGAAGTGTTCTTTCTTTTGACTTCATCTCATTTGCAAAACGAAAAATATACATATTCATGTATGTGCCTGCGTGTGTGTGTGTGCATGGACATGTACTTGACCAATTAAACATAGAACCAACAGCCAGCCACAGCACATCATCGATTGGTAGAGTCAAAGAAAACACCCAAGAGTCCAACCAGCAACAAAACCGTCAAAATAAAAAAATAAACAAAGGGAAATGCCAAATACCAATAGAAAAATACAAGATCAACTTGACCGCGTACAACCAAAGCCAAACAGAGACAACGTCGACTGAGCAAACGTATGTTTCGGTTCAGATAAGCTGTGGCGGCAGCGGCGCGGAAAGAATCTGCAATATTAGCATTAGGCCATTAGAGCAAAGCAAAACGCATAACAAATACAAAGGCAACATAACTACCGCTGGCCCGATGAGAAGTACGAAAGATTAGCAGCAACAACAAACACAACAACAGCATGCCGTCAAACTAGCCCTTGAAGCCGCAGATCGCAGAACGTACGATGATCGAGGGTTTAAGGTGTCGATACTTTAAGAAAACCCCAGGTTCCGAGCATAACGTCGTGCAGTTCGCTGTGAACGTGATAACCGTCCAACACGTTGCTTCCTCTGGAAACCAAGAGACAAGTCAACGCCAAATCTGAAAAAGTCCATAAAACCATATCGCACTGCCGCCTGTGTGTTCAACAGCACCAAGAAGATTTCAATAGACGCGCTCTCATAAATGCTCGCCCAGCCAACGTCCCGAAATAGAAACCCGCCACCAGCGCACGTAGAGTTCTCACACATCGATTGAAAGTCTTTAAAATTCAGTGTAATAACGCAGAGTTCAATTGTTTGCGAGCTGACTTCGGGCAGTGAGCATTTCAAAAAAACAAAAGTGGGCACAAAAAAAAATCTCGCCGCGTAACGAACCACAACGAGTCCAACGGATACGGAAACGGACATTTCGATAGCAAACAATAAAAATAAAAGCCACCAACCGTATTATCCTTGTGACAGAACAGTGTATCAAATGAAAAGTTCAAAGTGTGAACAAGTTTGAAAAAATAATTACATATTAAAAAAAAAAAAACTGCAACACACTTTTTTACAAATATCGAATAAGAGTTTGTGAAAAAGTCCAAAGGAAATCAATTTCCCGCTCAACAACCAAAGGATAAACCCAAATTTTAAAAGGTAACTATTTTGTACAGACAGCGTTTATGACGATGGACAAATGATATTTACAATCGACTGAACTGATTTGTGTAGTGTCAAATAAAATAAAACGTTGAAATAATAATATGTTAAACCGATAATGCCATGTTTATATGCGCGCCCTTAATCGCGTTGAAGAGTTCCATTAAAATTAATGTTATTTTCCCATGCCGTAACACGCTTAAGTCCTTTCGATTTTAGATTTGAACGGAACACATGATTTAGTTTATGAGAATAGAATGTGGTTTTCGAAATAAGGACAGGCCCTTCTAATTCCGAAATTCTTTTAAAGCTAGAAATGATTTTCAGGAATTCTCTGCTAATCTCGAATTATGTTAAAAAATAAAAAATACATGCTTATTTAAAGGTATAAATGTAGTGTTGTCGTACTTTTTTAATGGGAAAACTAGTACAAGAACACATCTCATAAAGCACGACAATCAAAATTTTCATGGGTAGTATCAACTTATTTTTAATTTAAGACCGAATTAAAAATTATTCAACACATATATAGACTGAGAACTGTTAACAAAGCTGTTAATGTTTCCCAAAAAAAATAGACAAAAAATAACTCATAAACACTTCCCCGCAAGAAGTGACTGACTGAAACAAACAATTCAGAACTATTCGAAGACAATTTTTGGAATTCCTTCGGTACCCTTCTTTGTCATAGCTATCAAAGAGTTTCGCAATACCCGAATATGTTACTAAACAGGAATCGTCCTTTCAGTGTAGTATGGTACCTACAGAATATGAACACTGTCTGTTCTATACATATGCCAATAGAAAAAACACGTAGATTTGAACTTGGAAAATGTAAAACTCTTTCGCAAAAAAGAAATTCAACGAAAAAAAATTGCAACCTAATTGTACAGGCAATCATCAGAGACTTCTTCTAAAATGACGACGAGTTTGTATTCGATTATATAAACTTATGCACATTTACTGATATTTCGTCGCATTAAAAAACCGCATGACGACAGGACCTTTTTTGCGTCGATGCAGCAGCTGACAACGTATATACTGGATATTATCATTCCAATTCCCATACAACTTGACAAATTCTTCAACTAGTTCTCGCCATCAATGACTGTTGAAAATAAAAATAGAAAATATTCTGCCGATTGAAGATGTTTTAGAAACGACATACATACATGTGTATGTTAGTGTGTCCACCATAACAACAATATAAGGTAGATATATTGTCCAACACATGCACATGCACGGTCTAAAGAACCACGTCAGATAACCCCCCCCCCCCTTTTCCACACTTTGGCAAATCTACGAATTAATAATTTTGTATTCGAATGCAAACGGGACGATTCAAAATATGGCAATTTCCTCAGAAGGAGTTCTCATTACGCATCATCCGACAGCCGAAGCACACATAATCTAGCTAGCTGGCTAATACAGACGCTCGACTCAACAAAGCCCCACTTAAGTATGCCAAGACATACCTACTTATCCAAACCACGCCAATGGTGGTCTGCATATCAATAGCGTACAGACCAAAAACATAAAACATTCCGTACATTGAACGCACGAGAAATGTGGACATGTGTCGAGCATTCTAAATGATTTCCTAAAACTTATCAGCGGAGCAGAGCAGCCGCCCGCTTGCGTCTGAGCAAGAACCCGGAACAAAGACACTTCGAATCGAACAATAACAACAAATAACCCTACAACCATCTTTGGTCCGCACAATAGGTGAAATAGCTATCCAAAAGCAATAATAATTATTTCTGGTCTACGTGTGTGTGTGTATTTGTGTGCGTGTAGACGACACAAGGAAGCCACCATTGTTTATTATCACTCATTTAGAATATAATTTCAATATCATAAATATAGTGATTGTTTTTGCGTGTGTTTGTGTGTGTGTGAGTGTCGACATGAAGGTGGACAACCTTGACCACTTCGATAATGAGCACCCAAAACCTGCTAAAATAATGACGGACCAAGAAGAATTGCTCACTACTGTAGAATAGACAACTCCACGTTTCGATAGAAACGCGACCACACATACACTCACAGTGAAAGACAAGGCAAAACCTTGGGTTATTTATGCAAATCTATAAAGAAAGAACCCAAGCCAATACATGAGAGGGGAGTGTGGAACGGCTAATTGGTTAAATCATTAGTTAAATATTCAAAATTATAGACAGTGTTTATTTTTGATTTATTTGGACGGTCACATTCACAGATTGCTATTTATACACACATACCTATGTCGGTATGTTAGACATGACCCTTGCAAACATATGTACCTATGAGTAGCATGTGAAATATATGAGAATATTCAAATCAATCGCAGAAAATTGCACCTGTACATTCTACTCTTACTCTTTATTGTCATTCAATTCTGTAAATTGTGATATTGACACACTTATTCAAGAATAATGCTGTTCAAGATCAGATCCACAGTCAAAGCAATAATTACAACAAAACAATAATTTTCACAACCAATTCCAATCCAAGCACAGTGACGCAAAGTGATTTTAATGACATGGAAAAGTTTGACTTTTGTGCTCGGACATGCTCCGACGTGTGTGTGTATATGTAGGTATATACCATGTACGAGGACAAATATAGAAACATTAACATAAACATACTTTAGCGATCCGATAACACTCGGCTGGCTGTGATAAAATTGCAACGATTTCGAACGCCAATCAGGCTTGTGAAAAAAGCCAGTGGTTCGGTTTGTATGTCAATGCAAATGACTTCGTTGCAATGAATATTCAGACTCAAACATATTTGTTATTGTTTGTGTTTTCTTCATTGAGCCAAGGTAGTAGTGGATGGCGCTGAACTCACTAAGCCCAATCAATGAAAGGCTAACCAGTTGTTGGGGCTGTTTCATAGATTGGATGCAGGCGAACAGCATCTCGGCCACTATGTGTTCAAGTACATCAAACGTTGTTTTTATCGATTGGAGATGTCGAGTTCAAGTGCATTTGTTCGTACTCATTCGTAATGGGGGAGTCATCTCAGAACAAAAACCCCTCTCGGACCCCTGTTAGTCTAATTTTCAATCCAACCACGTCTGGCATGAATCAACGGTAAATGTAGAACCACACTTCACTGCATAATTGGGTGATCTTTTCTCGACAGCAGAGCTCGTGGGAATTAACATCTCAATAGTATACCGCCACCAAAGTCACCGAATGTGTACAGGAAGTGGTAAACAAGAACTCGAATAGGAGGGTTGTGTACTTTCATAACGTAACAGTATACACACACACACACTCGACGGTCGTCGTTTGAATTTACTTCCGGTTTATCTGCTTTATTCATGGTCTAGAATTAAAGCAGCGAGTCAACGAATTAATTCACGCGGTCCATTCGATTGTTTTGTTTTGCTTTGTCTTACTTTGTTACCATTTGTCTCATTAATATTTCATGATAATTTGTATTTGGATGATATAGATTTTTAAGAGAACGCCCGTCAGGCAAAGTTTCGACAATGACTTCATTGATGTTCATTAAACATCGTTTAACCACCTGAATACAAATCAATGCTGATCAGTGTGACACCACAGCTCATTACAAATTACAGTCAAATGCTCAATCATTTGCGGGATATCCAAATAGAGAAGAAGACACATTGATGATTCTTGGGATGGCATTCCGATTAATTCGCAATTCGAATGTTGAGAATAATGTTTCAATTAATCCTTTTTAGATGGCACCCAACATAATTGGAAGTACCTTTATCTTGGCCGAGACGGCCATCAGCAACACAGATCCAAATAATAACAAGGCAACAACTGCAGCGGCGCCAGCAACCGCAGTGGCCGGTGGAGCAGCAACGTCAGTGACCCCAAACACGAACAAAGTTGGAAGCAGCAGCAACAAAAAGGATGCCGCTCAAAAGAAGCCCTACGAGCTGGAAATTGTCTGGCACAATATCCTTCTGTTTATCATATTGCACAGCTCTGCCTTGTACGGCGTATATCTGATATTTGCCGAAAATGCCTATCTGGAATTTGCACTTTGTAAGTATCCCTTAAGTGGTGGCGGGTGTAGCAAGTGAGGATCACAAATGATCCTTGTTCGAACTCTGGACTCTGATTTATGGATGTGTTGTATTTTCTTTCAGCATACATCTGTTTGTTTTTGGGCGGCATGGGCATTACCGCAGGCGTTCATCGTTTGTGGTCGCATCGTGCCTACAAAGCCAAGATGCCGTTGCGTATTTTCCTTATGTTGTGCCAGTCGCTCGCCTTCCAAAATAGCATTTACGAGTGGACACGTGATCATCGCGTCCATCACAAATTCACGGACACTGATGCCGATCCCCACAACTCCAGACGTGGCTTCTTCTTTGCCCACATGGGTTGGTTGCTCTGCAGAAAACATCCCGACGTCAAGGAGAAGGGCAAACAAATCGATATGAGCGATCTGGAAGCCGATCCCGTTGTTATGTTCCAAAAGAAGTGAGTTGACCGCAGACAAAGTCGCCACGTGGCAGCTATAATTCCAATCTATTCCCTTCATTTCTAGGTACTATTTCGTTATCATGCCGATTTGCTGTTTTGTATTGCCCGCCCTCTTCCCCTACTACTACTTGGGTTCGTCTTTGAAGGTATGCTTCTTCGTTGGATCCATGTTGCGCTACTGCATTTCCTTGCACGGCACCTGGTTGGTCAATAGTGCTGCTCACTTTTACGGCATGAAGCCATACGACAAATTCATCAGCTCCGTGAACAACAAAGTTGTGTCGAGCATCACCTTCGGCGAAGGTTGGCATAACTATCACCATGTCTTCCCCTGGGATTACAAAGCTGCTGAATTGGGCAACTACTACAATTGGACCACCGGCTTCTTGAACTTGATGGCCAAAATCGGTATGTCCAGTTTCCCTACCCTCGCTCCTCTCTAAAAGGCATGTTTATGCAAATGTTAACGAATCTTTCCGTCTTTCACAGGTCAAGCTTACGACATGAAGACCGTATCCGAGGAGATGCTCCTGAAACGTATCCAACGCACAGGTGACGGATCACATCCCTCATGCACCGACATGAACAACAATGTGTCCACCGGCCAGGGAATTACACCGGAAATGTTGGCGAAATTAGACCACGAAAACGAAGAGACAATGATCTGGGGCTGGGAAGACAAGGATGTCAGCGAGGAGGACCGCAAGTGTGCCAAGATTATCGAAAAGAAGGACGATTAAATCTCTACCAAGAGAAGAGTGAGAAGAGAGTTAACTGCAGATATTTAGCATTTCTTGTCGGAGGCTTTGCCATCCTCTTACATTACCCATCAGTCAATAAGGTTAAGGGGGCAGGGGTGCATCGGGAATATCTCGCCCAATCACCACATGCCCACGAGTTTAGCGACCACTCTGATTTGATCAAAATTGGTGTTTGTTGCTTCGCACGCTTTCATACTGTCGCACAAGTTTCCGACACAGATATCCATTTTGTACCTAATCGCTAAGTCGCTCACCGTGATACACACACGCTGGCAAACATTTCGGTTTTTAGTTTAACCTATAGAATTAATCTGCAATGAGGTCTTTCCTAGTTCTAGACATCCCTAGCTTTAACTCGTAGTTCCATAAGAACCATTGTTATTCGGTCCACCGAGCGGCATCCGGCTCCGATCCCGGTCTGCTGTTCACCCTTGTTTGTAATTTAATTGTCGTTAAGTTGTATAAAGAAACGAGAAGTAAGGTATAAAGATTTATAGACCCTCTGTTTAGAGCGCTAAGTATGTACGTTTTAGATGTAAGATGCATTAATGTCATTTGTACATTTCGATTAACATAATAACCAAAAATTTTACTATACGCATAACTGTAAAAACGAGTCAAGAAAGAAAACTATAGAAAATCATTAAAAAAATATATAAAAATGTAATAAAAAAAAAACTAGTTTTATTCAAAAACAAAAATGGACCGAACATCCTCAGTTGTCTGCAATACACCTAAAGTCAATGATTTTATAAAGCCCTGTGGTACTGTGTACTCCAGCAATTAAAAAAGAAATAGGAACCACAAGAACAACAGTTAAATCATAAATATGATTTAAGATACAAAATTGTATCCAGATTAACCCACACTATCAGGATTAATAGCTTAGTACGGATTTATGCGACCAGATTTACCATACAAAAATATATCTTCTCACGACTACATATATTTTACATCCTGTGCGGGATCTTAATACTAACGGAATACATCACTGGGTACAGCATTTGTACTGCGGTCCACTCCAAAGTCGAAAATGTTCCCGCAAAGACGTTCTTTTCTTAAATTATATTATTGTTCTTATATATTACGGCAAACACCTCCAGTTTTAAGTATTGTTCTTATATGCATAATTAGTTGACAGAATTAGGCACAATTTGTGCATTTTCTATGGATACCAATCCTATAGATTCAAAAGCTATGTTCTCCATGTGAAACATACTGACCAACATCCATTTAATACAATTTTCTTATGAAAATTATCCACGATGCGAATTCATGCCTTCTTTGTCCTAACTGTCAAAAGTTCACCTCACCAACAACCAAATATTGATTGCACTTTTTTATATTTTTTAATGATATTCTTCATTTCTGAGTAATATTTTGTTTCTTCTTTTGCAAACTTTCTTTGCCCGATTTATGGAAGAATCGTTCAGAATGTGTTCCAAAATCATACGCATTTATATCTTTAATTGTTTTTATGTTTTTAATTTTTTCTGTCAAAACGAACAATTTTAAATTGAGAGAGAAGACTTCTCGGTCAAAAAGCTATATTTTTCAAAATTCCAGTGCATTTCAGAGTGTAAAAAAGTAAGTTCACTCAAAAATTAACACTATGTTATGTCACGATATCGTGACATAACATAAAGTTATACACTAATGACATCTGTGGCCAAATTGTTACAATTAAATGTCCCATCAAAGACACATAATATAATAAGATGGGACCAAAGACATATAATATATGGTCTTTTCCAGAACTGCAAGGATGTAAAAGTTTTTACCACGATAACCGATTTTCGCTTTATGATATCGGAGAAATTGGCAAAACTAGTAGATTCTTGCAGGTTCTGGAACAGACCAATAGTTTTATGTCTTTGCCGTTGTCTATACATTTATTAGTCTAAGCTATGACCACACGTTCTGATTTTTTGATTGAACGAGTCGATTTTCGATCACTCGATTTTCGGAGTTGAAAAGTTAAAATAGGAAAGTCCACTTTTTTGTAATCGATTTTCGATGTTGATATCATCGAAAAGTAAGTAAACCAAAGCAAACAAAAACTATTTTAACAAGTTCCAACCCCAGAAAAGTTTTATTTAATTTTGGTAAAATTTTACCCTGATGAACACAATGAGTGACACAGGGTCAGGAAAATTGGTGGAAGAATCTTTGAAAAGGAAGGAGAAACTTAGACTTCTTAGAGAAAAGGCCCAGAAGTTGGAACAGAAAAATGGCGGAGAATGTGGCGGTCAGTTGTCGAGGTATATATGATTATTAAACAATGAAATGAATGATTGACAAATTGCATTTATTTTAGGCCGGTATTCAGAAGCTACAAACCTCAAAATGAAAATACATTAGGCGAGATTATTCCACAACAACCATCCGGAGATATCGAAGACGCTGTTGAGGACCAATTGAGTTTGATTAGTAGCACCACTGTTGTAGAGGATATAGACATAGACAATTTGGCACCTCGTAAACCTGATTGGGACTTAAAGCGAGATGTTGCCAAAAAATTGGAACGTTTGGATCGCAGAACGCAAAAGGCTATAGCCGAGTTAATTAGGGATCGACTGAAAAGTAACCAGGAAGGCCAAGATATATTCCAGGCCGTAAATGTAGCAACAGCCCATGTAGGAAGTAAAAATGGCTAGTAGGGTATTATTTAATTTAATTTTTATTACAAACAACTATTAATAATGTTTTTCTAGAAATTATACCAGTCTTATCCAGTCTTTTTATGGTCTCTCTCCAGTGGTTTCAGTTTGGTTTGCATTGAAGCGATTTCTGAAAAAGATGGAAAATAAAATTAAAGATTGCTTAGTACAAGTTGGAGGAGGAAGTGATTAGAACATGTTGGTCTGTTGAATGTACGTGGTTCCATATATTTATGAGCGTTTTACAATATTCTCGAAAATATTGTTCAATATAAAACATTTGATTTGTCTATAATTCAAGTTTTCCCATATCAACAACAACAACTATCTAATTCATCAAAAGGACTGAAAAATAGTATAATTGACTGAAAATGAAAATTCTTTAAACATTGGAAGGTAAAAAAATATTGCTTTCAAGTTACTTTCGCTTTCTCGGAATGTGAATGTAATTTATAGAACAGAGAATTAATTGTATATTCAAATCGGTTGTCGAAAACATGTCGATCAACAACAGTATATTGCCAATGGTAATTACATAGACACAGATTTAACATTTTTCTTAGAAACAGTTATTTTGGTGTCTGCACCTTAAAGTTTTTTTTTTCATTGTGTTTTATCTAAAAACGCTGAAAAACTACAAAATTGCACAAGTGTTCCAAATATTTTCAAAAACAATGATACAAATAAGTAATGTAGTAGACATACTATGCTATGTTAAAAAATTTAGGGGGTTTCACGAATGCTAGTAAATACACAACTCTTTTATGTGTAATGGTGTTTTTTATATGAAGCGTAAACTTTTTTGTGAATATTTTGTATTAAAATATGCATTTTTCTGCTGTGGTATTTTGAATTGTATACAATATTTACAGAATTTACCAATTTACTAAACTACATATGATATACATACGTTCTGAGTACTTGGCATCCAATGCAGTGGCATATTTTCTCATTGAGTCCAGCTCCTTCGGTAGTTCTATCCTTAAAGCATCTACTGTTTGCTTGAGAAAATCAATTTGACCATCTCGTTGTTTTATTTGAAGATTTTTCGCTGTTATGGTTTGCTCTTGCTGTAAAGCAACTTCCGTCCGCCAACTAATCACTTTCTTTAACTTGTTGAGTTCTTGGCTTTGCTTTAATATAATCTGATTGGCTTTCGAAATTTCCTCGGTGGCGATTTCTAATGCTTGTCTTTTAGTGTGGCTTATTTTCTTTTCGGCTTCTAGTTCGGCCATTAAATCAGCTCTGGTCTTTTCGACTTTCTTAAGTGCGTCCTTTAAATCGTTAGCCTCCTTTCTGCAATCTTGCAAGTGCATATCATGTTTGCGTTCACTGTTCTTTAGTATGGAAATTTCTTGGTGTAATTTATCATTTGATTCTTTTAATTTTGACAATTTAATCTTCAGTTCAGAAAGTTCTTCATTCAACATTGCATTGCGTTTTTCTTCCTGCCTACCAAAAAAAAGTTAAAGCAAAATATACATTCATGTCTTATTTTCAACTTACACTTTATCATTATGCATTGATTGTTTTTCCAGAACTATTTGGTCGATTTGCTTCTGCAGAGCACTTATTGTGTTTCGGCTTTTATCGTTTTCTTGTTGTCGATGTTCATTGCTCGTTCTTATTTTTTCTTGTAATTGATGAATTTCCTCAGCATGTTGTTGATTTAAATTCCGGGCACTTTCAATGATAGTTTCTCTTAGTTTTTTACATTCCGTATCTAAAATTTCAATTTTCTGGTTTCTAGTAAAAATTTCGTTTTGCAACTGTTGATTGTCCTTTTCCTGATGCATAAATTTTTTCTGCAAATATGATATGAAAAAACTTCAATGTTAAATCATGTACAGTGACAACAAATCTGACTTTAATTTCATTTGGTACTGATTTTTGAGCGAGACATAGGTTGTAACCTGGTTTTTTGGTTGATAACGTAATATCCAATATCAAACTTCAGATTAGAGGTTTCTTAAAACTGAAAACTTTCATAATTTATATGAATGCAAAATAGTCAAACTTCTTCAAGAGGGTTTTGTTTTAACAGACAAAAAGAATTAAAATGTAATGCTGATTTTGTTCATCAACGAAAGCATAAAAGTCAAGATAATTTAGAAATGCTTATAAGTACGGCCGTAAAATTAGAAGCTTCCTTTTCCATTTGTTTTTGCACAACGCCTGGATAGAATATCCCATAACATAGCCATTTTTACTAGTACTTGTACCAAATGAACGTAGTTGTCATAAAAAACAACAACAATGCGATTAAGCCTGATCATTTTGAAACTACAAAATTGTTAATTCTTAAAAAGAATTCATGAAGAGTAACGTGACAGTGGGAGAGGAGACTAAAACTTCTTTGTTGACTAGGTTTTGTGTGCCATTGGAAATTGTCTTACCTGTATTGCCTCTAAAATATTGTTCATATAAAATAGCACAACATTAACCGGTGCTTTGCGAGTTGGCAAGCTTAGATGTACTAAATTTTTAAAGGATCTTCTCTCAACGAATTGCAGTTGATAACCATCCCCACAATTATTCATTACAGAGGAACTGGCACATTTATCCTTTTGTGGTTCTTGAAGGTTCAGCTCTAAGTTTCCTGCATGGCACTCCTTTAGTAAATGTATCAAATTCTCAACAAATCCCGAGAAACTAACATGCAATGACTGATCCTGCTTCAGTTCCTGGAAAGAGTTACTATCCACAGTGCTAATATACATTTTCCGCTGATCGCACTTTTCTGTCAAGCGTAATTGCTATAGGAAAAAATGCATGAGAGTATTTGTGATCACTTCACCCGTGTGCAACCCAATTAAACTTACAATGAGTTCCTTCAAATCAATTTTTTCCGCATAAACATAACATTGCCTTTGGAATTGGGTATTGCCACGAAATGTGACCATTATCTCCGCCGTTGGTATTATACATTCGATGTGTTTGCTATTATTGACGTTGACAAAACAATCATCCTCTACAATTGAAGAAGGCAGCGAGCGCGGCAAATATTGATTTTGATTGTGAAACATTTTTTATAGTGATGTGTCGTTCCGGTTGTTCCGCATCCATCTACTTCATATGCATTATTCTGTTAAAGGAACTATCGGAACTAGTTAGATCGATTACATATATCCATATCGTTCCTTTATCACATGTTCTCGTTGATATTCCACACGACACGATTTGTAATACATAAAAATAGATGTTGTTTTCTAGAACAGCATTTAAGAACATTTAAAGCATTTAGTTTATACTTATTCAATTGAATGAATTTGTAATTTTAATACCCTTGTATATAATTGACATCCACTGGATTTAAAAGTTGGTTTAATTTGAGGTATACACAATGGAATTCAGAGTGGAAATCCACTCGATTTAATGAGTCTAAATGTATTTTTATTGAATCGATAAGGAGGTAATACATGGGAGAAGAATACAGGTATGCATCAACGCTTGGGAGCATAGATATGTCAAAAAAACTTAAATGTTTTTTTTCAAATATGTTTTCATGTTTTCTTATACTACGTCATTCGGAGGCTATTATAATTCGCGTTTTCAACAATTTTTACAAATTTAAATAATTTTTCATTCAACATTTTCAATTCCAAAATTAGTTTGACAGTTCATTGTCCCAGCAGCTGTGTCGACGCGTCTACCTATATTCTTCTACCATGGAGGTAATATAACGATTACGTTGTAAAGTACTCAGAAACCTCAGTCGTTTTAATTTGTCAACTCCATTGTATCATTACGATGGTTTACGTAAACATGCTTTATAACAGAACTACTGAATCGCAATGCTAAGAGTATGCCCGCTTCTTGTCAGAGTTATTCAAAGCTCTAACCATAATAGAAAAATACAGGTAGTCGCATCGACAATGGGACAATGATTTTTTGGAATTGAAAATGTTGAATGAAAAATTATTGAAATTTGTAAATATATCATTGGATACGACCAAAACGTGTCTCATCGAAAAAGTGTCTAAAACCTTAGGTCTCTTCGGAGACATTCGGTGTCGATGTAGCGATGTTCGTCCGTCCGTCCACACGATAACTCTCGAATGGAGTATCCGATTTGGATTAAAATTTAATTTTTTCCATTTTCAAATGTCGTAACCCATTTTTAAACCAATAAATACTCTCATTTGTTAGGTTTTGGACATATTTTATCATTGTTCTGAGAGTGATATAATTTGAACAATGTAAAAATATGAGAAATTTTGTGTGGAGAATTAAGTCGTTCTTCCATAGTTAAGGGTCAAACAACGAATAGAGACCGAATCAAGTGTAGTGGAAACGCCACATTACACATATGTTAATCATTATCGTTAAAAGAACAAACACGGGGATCCGACAAGAACTAAGAAAAATAAACAAAAGCGCATCAAACTTCGTGTAGACAAAACAAATCAAGTGGATTTCAGTTGTCAATTTCATTAAAACCCACTGGATTTTATGTATAAGCAATTGAAATCCATTCGATCTAATAAGTGCAAAAGTATATTCAGAAAATGTTAAAGCTGCCCTCAGACACACCCAACTTGTGACAAGTTGGTACAACTATTAGTGCGTCTGAGGGCTAGTTGTACAACTTTTTCGAAAGTTGGTTGAAGTTGGTTGGAAATATCAAAAATTTTTGATAATTTCGTAAGTTGGGCCAACTGTTGGTGCGTGCGAGGGCAAGTTGTACCAACTTCAGTGTTTTCTTCATTTATGTCTTGACTTTGGTGAAGCAGCACATACATAAGCTGAGCGCTGAGCGCAAGAAGAGAAACATAATCATAAAATAAAACAAGACCACATTTTTTTCTTCAGCTTTTTCTTTCTCTGTTGTTGTCTTTCTTCTTCTTCCTCTAAAATTATATCAATTCCAAGTAGCGCAAGAGCATCCGAGTTCACGTTGACGCTTCAAAAATACTTTGTAAATGAAAAGTTGGTACAACAGTTGTATGAAAAGTTGGTACGTGCTAGGAACACAATTGGAGCGAACGATGAATTTCGCCCTACGCGGCGACAAAATGAGCCGCGAAAATTCGTCGTATGGAACACAATACCGACGAAATTATAAAACAGCTGATGAAGTTGTTTACTTTTTGCTCATTTGTTGACTACAATGTATTATACAAGAACACATAATTCTTTACGTTCTCTATTATAATTTCACTTATGTCCATCTTCTCTATTATAAATTCACTGATATCCATCTTCACTCAGGCGCAAGTACACAAATAAATAAACAAATTAATTATGTTTTTTTTTATACGAGTAACAGATAGTAGAGTGACCATTTTAAAGTAAAAAGTAACTTTATTTACTAAAACACATAAAATTCGTACAAGTATGGCCACCTTGTACTGTTTTGTTCGCCGGTCGCCGGCGTATAAAATAGAAATAAAGCTAATTGAGTTCGCGGCGACCGACGAAATTTTCGCCGGAGCCGTGATTGTGTGCACTTCCATATACACATATGTGTTTTATTTTTGACGACGAACATACGCCGCGAAAAAATTCGTCGTTCGCTCCAATTGTGTTCCTGGCATAAAAGTGACAAGTTGGGCCAACTGTTGGTGTGTCTGAGGGCAGCTTAAGAAATGAAATCAAAACTTATGTCGTATTTTCATACTATTAGGAAACAAGTGAACCAAAAGGAATTATTTGTTTTAAATTAGTGACAAAAATTAATTTAGAAAAGGTTTTTGGAAGCTGATGTTCTGTTGACTCACTTCTGAAGTCAACAGAACATCAGCTTTTTTCGAAAATCGCAAACAACTTATGACACAATTCTTTATTAATTTGAATGAATAATATTTGCTCTGCTCCATAACCTGCCAGAATATCGTTCATCGCAACAGAAATGTTTTACATTCGTACAGGTTCGGGAACAGGGCATAGGTGAACGAAAGTGCAAATGTAGTTCCGATCATCCCTTTACAGAATTATTCTTTTGAACTAGTTCGTTTGAGCTACACAGCTCTACATTTTTGTGCTTCTCTAGCCGACACGTGCGTGCGCTTTGTTTTTTTTTTTTTTTTTCTGTGAAACTGATTTTAACTTTTTAAAAAATGAAACAAAAGAACAACAAGCTAATAAAAAAGACTGCCAAAGTAAATGATAAAAAGGAAGAGGAATTATTACACAATGAAGAGTCGGTTAACGAGGAAGAATCTGGTATGTATTTTTGGAAGAATGAAGTACCTATTTCTAATTTCACTTGAAACATCATGATTCAGTAGATAGCAGCAGTGTCTCAGACGACGAGGATAACGAAGAGCCAACCGAGTGTCCCATTGGAAAAGATGAACCAACTATTCCATCCAAAGTAAACATTGGCACAGTTGCAGAGGATGTTCCACTCGATTGCATTGTACATGTAAACAAACTGCCCAAAAGTAAGCTTCGCGGGAACAACTCTAGTTTAGTAAAAACTCTTAGATTTTTTCGAAATTTTTTCCAGAGGTAGGTATTTTTACCCTTATCCCGGGAAACTATTTTTTTCTTGGGGGACGGACCCAGGACCCCAGATTTTTGACCCGAAAGTCCGGGATCAAGACCCCACCTGGACCCGGATCCACTTACCCGATATAGACAATATGGGTATCGATGGAAAGCTTATGAAAATACCTATCCAACAAGTGGTCACATGAAGGGGTAAGTTGTCATGGTTCGGAAGTTATAGTCAAATTATCGATTTTTTGGACCCGGATTTTTTATGAAACCCCCAAAAAGTCAAAAAAGGGCCCATTATGGGGGTCAACAAAATCGTTTCCAAATTATAGCTGACACTCTTACCTTTCAAAAATGCTACAATTTGTGCTAATACCTTTTTCGGGTCCAGAGATATGGGTCTTTCCATCCGCATAACCCGATTCTAACCAGTTCATTAAAATGATGTTTTTAATAAAAAAGTGTTTATTTCGCGTAGCAGTCGTCGGAATAACAAAAGTTTTCTAAATTTGGCTCTTTTTGTAAATAGCCGGCCTTCGGCCGGGTCTTGAGATTTTCACCTATGGGTATGTCCGACACCGGCTAACGCGAACAAAAGGTTCATAATTTCGGCACTTTTTTTAAATAGCCGGCCTTCGGCCGGGGCTTGAGATTTTCTCCTCTAGGTATGTCCTACACCGGCTAACGCGAACCAAAGTTTTCTAAATTGGATACCTTTTGTAAGTAGCCGGCCTTCGGCCGGGGTTTGAGATTTTCTCCTCTGGGTATGTCCTAAACCGGCTAACGCGAACCAAAGTTTTCTAAATTTGACACTTTTTGTATATAGCCGGCCTTCGGCCGGGGCTTGAGATTTTCTCCTCTGGGTATGTCCCACACCGGCTAACGCGAACCAAAGTTTTCTAAATTTGACACTTTTTGTAAATAGCCGGCCTTCGGCCGGGGCTTGAGATTTTCTCCTCTGGGTATGTCCCACACCGGCTAACGCGAACCAAAGTTTTCTAAATCGGATACTTTTTGTAAGTAGCCGGCCTTCGGCCGGGGCTTGAGATTTTCTCCTCTGGGTATGTCCTACACCGGCTAACGCGGACCAAAGATTTCTTAATTTCATTCTTACGCAAAATATACCATTTTTTATTGAAAACATAGTTTTAATGAACTGGATAGAATCGGGTTATGCGGATGGAAAGACCCATATCTCTGGACTCAGTGAAGGTATTGGCACAAATTGTAGCATTTTGGAAAGGTAAAAGTGTCAGCTATAATTTGGCATCAATTTTGTTGTCCCCCATAATGGACCCTTTTTTGACTTTTTGGGGGTTTTATAAAAAATCCGGGTCCAAAAAATCGATAATTTGACTATAACTTCCGAACCGTAACATCCTACCCCATCATGTGACCACTTGTTGGATAGGTATTTTCATAAGCTTTCCAACGATACCCATATTGTCCATATCGGGTAAGTGGATCCGGGTCTAGTCGGGGTCTTGAACCCGGACTTACGGGTCAAAAATCTGGGGTCCCAGGTCCGTCCCCCAAGAAAAAAATAGTTTCCCGGGATCATGGTTAAAATACCTACCACTGAAAAAATTTTCGAAAAAATTGAAGAGTTTTTACTAAACTAGAGTTAAGCCGCTTCGCGGCGTATACTATTACATATTCAATCAATAAACAAACATTATTTTGCAGAAACAAAAGTTATCGACGTGGTAGAGATTTTCGCGGAATACGGACCAATCGATACGGTGCATTTACAAGAAGGGCCGGCTGACTGTACAGCAAACATTGCGTTTAAGAACTCGAAATCAGCAACCGCTGCTCTATCCGCAGACAAGAAGAATGTTAAAGGTTGTAATATTGTTGTGACTAAAAAACAAATATCCAAGAAAGGAAAAAAACAAAAGGACACAGCAAATGTCGGTCGAGAGCGTAGTGTTTATGTTAAATTTTTGAAACGCGGTACCACTGAAGATCAGCTCAAGGAACACTTTAGTTCATGCGGTGATATCGAAGAGGTACGAGTTGTCTTAAAGAACTCTGTAACATATGCCTTTGTAACATTCACCGAGAAGGAAATGGTTCAAAAAGCTCTGAAACTACATAATTCTATTCTAAACGGAAGTACAATAGGTGTGCTCGAAAGTAGCACAGATAACAACAGCCAAGGTAACAAACGCGACCCCAACCTCACCATTGTGTTGAAAAATACTCAAAACCTAGAGAGTATTGAAGGAGAAAAACTGGAATCCATATTTGCAAAGTGTGGGGAAATTGAATCGATGGATGTCGTCTGTAGGAAAACTACGTTGGCTTTTATAACCTTTAAAGATGAAACTGCTGTCAAAAAAGCATTCAAATTAAATGGCAAACAGATTAAGGAAATATCAATAGATATGGAGGCTTATAATCCGGACAAACCAAAGACATCCATATTTGTTAGCAATGTTGCTAAAGGTATGATATTTAAAAACTGCTTTGATGTTGAAAATACTCAGTCTTTCACATATATTATTTCAGATGTAACGGAGGAAGATCTAAAAAGTCATTTTTCGGTATCTGGAGACATATCCGCTGTTATTCTGAAAAATGGATTTGCCGTTATTCATTTCAAGGACTCCGATGGTTATTGTAAGTCATTTTTATTGAACGAAACAATTCTAAAAGGACAAATGCTGTTCTTGGAACCACACTCCTTCCGAAAAAAGGCTATCTTGAAATCAAAGAGCCACAAAGGTACAAAACGCCCTTCCCAGCAACATAATGGTGTGTTCGGCGGCAAGAGAATAAAGGCATAATCAGTCTTATTACGATTGGCGATGTTCACAAAATTTCCTTAATTTTGTAGTAAATAAAAGTAACAATTTATAACTAATTCCTTTGAACGACAACGCCAAAAGTAACGAAGGTGAAAATGTACTCTATTTTTAAGAAAACACAAAGAATTAATAAAGTTGGTATACTTTTTTATACCTAACTTCAAAATGTATGGACGTCTATTGTGCTCCAATAGTTCTATATAATATTGTTTTTATTATGGAAAATAAAAACGTTGGATAAATCATGGACAAGTTTGAGAATCTTTATTTCCAAATACAGGGACTAAATTCTACCCATATCTAATACCTGATGTACGTCTTCGACGTTGTTCACATGTAGTTATATGAATGTTACAGAAATTAGTCGTTACCGTAAAAATGAATAATAGAATAATGGGAAAGGCAACAATTGGGAAACGATGGACGTATGGACCTTGGGTATTTAGAAAATACGACGGTACGAAACTGTAAAACTAGTAGGGGTATGTGTATTTTTGTACGGGTATTAGCCCTGTAAATTTCTATAGAAACGACTAGACGTTGAATGTTAGTGTTAAACGCCAGTTGCCTCTATCAACATTTTCACTTTTACCAATCAATAACGAGCATACAGAAATTAATTTCGATCGATTTTTTTCGAAATTAATTTCGATCGATTTTTTCGACACTGAATGCTTTAATTTGGTTCCAGACTAAACTTCAAAGGACTTGTTGAATTCAAATCCTGGTTAATTTCAAAAAGCCAGCACCCTATTTAATTCATTTCCAATGTAATTTAATGCATCATCAGGGGTATAATAAAGGTATACTCACCTTCTGACAACACACACATTCGCTCATCTATATCAGCGGTGCTCAAGAAGAAATATCTCTTTTCAGTCAAATTTCTCTTTGCTTATTTAAACCAAGAACAAAACAGTGCTAAGTCATTATTTATACAAATATTTTTTATCCATTTGCTTTATAAATTATTTTGGCAAACATTCGTGTTTAAAAACAATCAAATATAACCGTAAAATATAAAGAAAAACAGAATTTTAATTTTCTCTTAAATTATCTCTTTTTTCTCTTCATGTTCTAGAACACGGTTTTGAGTACCGCTGTTCTAAAATCAATTTTGAGACAGTTTCATTTTGATGATATTAGCCAAATTTTTTTTTAATGGAACTGACTGAAAATTCACTCAAGGATTTCCTTCTGAGTACTTTACTTTTCTTTGTGAGTACTATACCCCTTCAAGAGAATTGTTTATTATGGTTTCCAATGAATTTTTATACCCCTTATGATGCATTAAATTACATATATCCCCTATATAACGGTACCTCCCGGTATTCGGTATTTTGATAATTGTAGCCAAATTTTTTAATGGAATTGTCTGAAAATTCGCACAAGAAGTTCCTGCTGATTACTGGTATAACGATACCTCCTACTATTCAGTATTTTGATGATTTTAGAGACATTTCAAATTGTTTCAAATTTCATATTTGAAGCTCGTAATGAGTACTACAATCTATGTAGGTCCTCGTCTTAATATAACCCACATATAATGGCAACTTCATTTATTCGGTGTTTTGATGATATTAGCGACATTTTTTACCGGAATTGTTTCAAATTTCGTAATGGGTACTACCTTGGAGCGGTATTTTTCGACGGAACATTTTGGACATTTTTCCTTAGAAATAGCAGAGTGTATAAAAATTTCGACCCAGCCGAAGCTGTCATTTCTTCTTTAATTAAAAAAAAAAAAAAAAAAATCAGAAGATTCTTGCAGGATATGTAATAGAGTATTTGTTTTCCAAGCTTTTGATTGTATTGGAAGTGTTTTTTTATGATTTCGACCGAAAACACTCGATTTGTAATCACATATAATCCCCTGTTCTATTGTAGAATATTTTTTATGGCAACGCGAATTTCTGTTTTATTTTTAAATTTTAAAACTTGCTTATTTTTCGCAATAGATCCAGTGAGTTATTTACCGCTCTTGCGTCGTGAGAGTATCACAAGGTGAACATTTCGATCGATTTTTTTTCGGTATCGAATTGCTGGTACCGAAAGTCATCAATCAAAACCATACATCTAATTGAGAATCAGCCAATGTTATGTGTCCATTATTAGTATAAAAGAAAATTAATATTATTAAAAAACGATTTAGCGACCCAGTAGCTTTTACCGATTAAATGCTACTACAATATAAAGACAGAAAACTTTTTCATCAACATTTATTCGTATTTAAGGTTTCAGTGTGTCTTGATTAATTCATATGTCATGTGAATCTTCCTAGATATAAATATTTTGTTCTTTGTGTTTCTATTAATGCGCCAAATATGACGCAGCAAATATTAAATGCCTTTGAGGAAGAATACTCTTAAAAATTCATAACATTAAAATAATGTTGGTTTGTTAATCGTCTTCTGAATCGATTTTATATTTTAAATAGCAATAAATAGAGTATTTAAAACAATTTCAGTCTCTTTGAGTCAAATTCGGGAATCGGAGTGCATTTCTTCAGAAAACGTCTTCATGTTAATCATTATTAGATTATATATTAGTTAGAATACTAAAAAAAAGAAACAATCGTATTTACTTAAGCAATCAATAAGAATATGCAAACATTACATTATTTGTTAATAATTTGAATACAAAATTCAAAAATATCGTAAGGCAAATCAAAGAATAGGGCACTAAGTAAGGTGAAAATTCAAGCATAGTCAAACGTATTTTCGTTCAAACCATATCGTCCGTCCGACAAACCTCCAGAGGTCAAAAGAAATAAAAACAAAACAAAAATTAAGTAAACGTTACTTCACAAGGTATATTATATGTATTTTTAAATACTCGCATACAAAAACATAATTTTTTGCTTCTTTAAAAAGGTAGATAAAACACGGAATAAAATAAAAATAAAAATAATACACTGGGAACAAAGAGAGATAATAACATTCGAATGGAATTTCGGCGTTTCATTTCGACAGGAACAGATTCGAAATTCACATCAAGTTAAAACCATAACAGTCTCTAAAAATAATAATAACTCATTCAATCAATAAACGAAAAGGAGACGAACTGAAACTATGTTCGATAAATAAATGGAATAAACGAAACACAAACGGGTAGAAATGATTGATTTTGATGTATATAAATATGTAAGTGTGTGTGTTTTTCATTTTAACGAGTCCTATAGAGTTGAGTAGTTTGATTATTAGTACTAGAGAATATAAATATGCTTATAGAAGACTAAGTATGTAGAGCATGCATATAAAAATATAAATTAATTTTTTTTTTCGTTTTGTTTTTCGTAAACGTAAGTTGTTGTTATGAAAACTACTCTAGATATGATTGGTAGACATCTTTCGGTTAAGAAAATAGTATTGATGTTTTTTTTAGGGGGTAGGATACTTTAAAAGTGACTTTTAACCGTTTTCGTGCGACCGGAGAAAAAAAAATTGAATAAAAATGATGTTTTTGTTTTGATTCGCATTATTGCACGAACATGTTAGGCTACACTAATGGCAGTAGCCCTTTGATGGGACAGCTAGAAATTGAGGTCACTTCTAAAATAAACACCCGGCTTTAAGTATGCATCTGTGGTATAATAAATGTGTTTCAAATACTTTTCATTAATTATTAAGTTTCAGGCGATCTCTGCAATCAGTCTGCGATCAAAAAATAACCTTTTTCAGTTCGATAATTTTGGAGGCGCATTATGATTCGCATTTAAACAAGTCTTAGAACAAATTGATTTCTCTGGTGATCGGCGGCCAATTACAGATTGCCACTAAAATTGATTCAAATAAGGTTCGTTTACAAGCAATATGCTTTTACTGGAAAAGCTGTTGATGAGTACAATTTTAGTTAAGACAAATCAGCTCCTTGTGAGTGTGTTAAGCACTACTAATTTCAACTTGCAGTTGTTGGTCGGCGTTACCATCACCCTCGCCCGGAATGAATGGCTCGCTAGAGTTAGGAACAATTGGTTCAGTATTCTCTGGAGTGGGTTGCTGTGGTTCCACTGCCGAATCGTTGTCAGGAGATACATTTCCGTTTAGCTCTTTATCGCCAGCAACAGATTTCATTTGCGTGGTCGATTTCGTCTCAGCCGATTTTTGAGTGTTTGATTTTGCTGCAGGTTTTATTGGGTTTTTAGCACCAATGGAGGATGTAGTCGATTTGGTTGGTGTTTTGCCTGCGACTGGTTTTATTGGTGACGATTTTCGTTGTGTAGCACTCGTGGTTGTCTTCGACGTGGCTTGTGTGGTAGTGGAAGCGTTGGCGGTGCCGCCAACTGTGAGTCGCCTATTAGTGGTTGTGGTTGAGCCCACAACAGATGAGTTTGTCTTGGGAGCGGGGCGAGCGATGAATTGTTTCGTTGTTGTGGTGACTGTTGTAGTGGAAGTTGTAGTTTTAGCTCGCGAACCGACAACTGATGATGCTGTTTTAGTAACCGAGCTGGATGTTGTTTGTTTAGTTGGACTTTTGGCGCCTGCACTTGTAGCTCCTGGTGCAGTCTTACGCAGTTGAGAAGTTAAAGTGGCGCGTGGTGAAGTTACTTTAGGTTTAGCAGCTGCAGTGGTTGCTGAAACTCCAAGAGTAGTAGGTTTGGTAGCAGTCGAAGCGGTTCCAGATACTGGTCGAGACTTAGTAGTGGTTGTGACATTCGAAGACAAAGGTTTGCGTGCAGTAGTTGAAGTTGTTGTTGTGCGGGTAGCAGTCATCGGCTTGGCTGTCAAAGTTTTAGTAGTGGATGTAGAGGTCACTGAAGTCTTTGCAGTGGATGTGGAAGTTACTGAACGAACTGTAGATGTACCCGATGTTGTTTTCGTTGTCGATTTATGTATAGAGGTCACACTAGTTGTCGGTGGCTTACGTGCACCAGCAACTCCAGCTGCAGAGGCTGCCATTTTAATAGGTTTCTTCTCGGCTACGGAAACAGCGCTGCTTGGTTTGGTTGGACCAGTTTTAGGTTTAGCAGCAATTCCAGTTGTAGTCTTGGGGGCAGAAGTCTTTTTAATTGAAGATGCAGTAGCGGTTGATGGTTTTGTTTTTAAAGTACCAGCGATTGCCTTTGATGTGGGTTTCTTTGTATCATCAGATTTTGCGTTAGTTGATACCGCCGGAGTCTTTTCAGCAAGAGAAGCAACTACGGGCGCAACTTGATCTACAACTTCTTCGCTAGTAGATTTCAATTCTGGTGCGACTTGATTTATCGCTTCTTCATTACTAGATTTCAATTGTGGTTTCTCTTCAGATGCACCTTCTACGGTCGCGACTTGCTTTATTACAACTTCTTCATTACTTAATTCTGGTTCTTCTTTAGGGACACTTTCTACATTCGTCTGATCTTCGGATGCTTCGAAAGTAATAATTTCACATTGGTTTATAGCTTGGCTTCCTACGGGTTCTAATATTTGCTCCGTTATTAATTCCGATTGGACATGTACTCCGCTAAGATCTTTTTCACTGTCGTCATGTGTGTTGAAAGCAGTGCTATTATCATGTACAAGACTTTCATGGTCGACAGTATGTTCTAGCATTGAGTCTGCCGTCTCATTTTGTGGGGATACTGCACCTGCAGCCTCATTCGTAATATCCAAAGCATTGTTGATTGAATCCATTGTTGCACTGTTTACAGTTACATCTAACTCCGAGTTTTCTTGAAGTATCACATTCTCTTGAGGTGCTTGCTCTACGTTTTCAACACATGGTATTTCTTTGAGGCCCTCTTCTGAAAGATGATCGACTTGGAGTTGATTGGATGTTATTTCAATGCATTGATCATTGTCGGGTGTAGGTTCTTCGGGTTCATATTTCTGTTGGTAGTTATCTGACGATATAGGAGAGTTTAGTGGTTCGACCGGAGACATGGGAGCGGATTCATTAGACATGTTGTTTATATCCGATGTGTCGACATTGATATTGTTTTCATTTTGAGACTGCAATTCTCCAACGCCAATTAGCGAACTATTCTCAAATTTATTCTCAGTCTCCAATGTTTCCACTCCATTAATTTCAGAAGAAACTGTTAAGACATCGACATTAACTTTGTCTATTGGCTCTTCTGGCAATTGATGGGTTTTATCGTCCTCTAAATTTGACAATGTTTTATGTTCGTCATTAATATTTTCATCGGCATGTCCAGAAGATTGAGTATCATCTCTCTGAAAAAAAGAAATGAAAAAAAAAAAACGTTATTTTCAATTGATCACGGTAATCTTAATATCTTCATACACAAAATAGCATGCAGAGTAAAATAAATCAGAATTTATAGGACAAAGAGAAAGAATGAGTACTGGTATTCTTCATTCACTTTAACTCAAGATTGAAGATCATCTTTATTTAAAATGGAAAATATTCAGGCATTTTATTTGCTTAATCTTAAATGAATGTGCAAAATCCTTAGAGTTTTTGAAATTGTAATATGTATTTTAATCATAATATCATGTACTATATATATCAAAACCTGAGTATTTAATATTCTATAAGAAACAAAATCAGTAAAAGAATACCCCAGAATACGTTTAATATATCTAGATATATTGTATATAATTGCTTCGGTGAACGTTTTAAACAAGAATCACAAATGAATGTAAAATTGTATTATTTTCAAAAATTATTTTTATTTAATTTATTTACACAACAAATTACCCAGTCTTGCTACCATGGACTGTATACCAAAATTCTATATTTAACATAATATAAACTTATGTTTAGAAAAAGGTATCGTTACTACGGAACTACTACTTTAAAGTTTATAAGGGATTGGATTTCTTATTGATTAAGGAATTTCATTAAAAAAAACTATCATAGAAAATAATTATAAAATTCAATTATTTAGGATTAGGTGCTACTCAAATAAAATTATTGAATTTCAATTTAAAGAGATCGGACCTACTCTATTATGTTATATATGTTATGAGGAATAACATTTACATGTCCAAATAAATAAATCTTTATAAACGAGGTTAAACCAGCAAAACCTCGTATTTTAGTTTTTTTTTTTTGTAGCAGTCGATTGCATAGATGTTTATAAATACTTCGTTAATATAATTTACTGACCTTGTATGCTTTTGTATTAAGACTGAGTGGAAAAATAAAATAATATGCAAATAATTCTGCAGCAACTGCAAATATTGTCAGAAAAAGTGTGATTTGAGCATTGCAATTTTTAAGTTGTGTTTCACACATATTCTGTTGGAGTTTGTTACCAAAGAATTAATGTTTTCTCAAACTTTCGCTTAATCAATACGTTCAGCCAGGCAAAATAAAAATATTTCATCTATGTGTATTTTATGATTTAAGTCAAGGCAAAAAATAGGGCAACACCAGCTAAATGTTTTGTATATTTTATTATTTACAACTTTGTGATTGCCAAGTTTATAGAGAATGAATAGCCTAAACATAGTTGATTCTTTAAGTAATTCAAAAATTTGAAAATCAGGCCGACGATTAAAGCGAGCTTCTGTCAAATAAGTGAATTCGAGTCAGAAAACGGATTTTCTTCCTTTTTTAATTGTATTACATGTTATTTAAAACTCTATTTAGTGATAGAAATAATCAAAACATATTTTCATGTCAGTACCTTGTATAGTGGGAAACTGTAGGTAAAATATTGTAACGCTTCTAGGAATTGCAGGGAACCGTTTTTAGAGAAAAAATGGATATGGATATGGCTAACTTTTAGTAATGGTTCCATGGACAGCAATGTTAATCGTTATAAACGTGCATTGGCCCCTACAATTGATCCACCCTCGACTTGAGAAGTATTTATAAAAAAATCTCTTATTTTCTTAAATCGACCAGCTGAATTATATTATATTATTTAAGCGTTTTTCGTAGTGGATATTCATTCTTAGTTCATATGCTTGATGACTGAAAAGGTCAATGACTTGTCTATTTTGTTATATTTTCGCCAAGTCTAGGAAATACATCGCCACACTCATAATATCTGCGGTTTTCATTAGTAAAATATGGCGCCTTTCTTTAAAATTCACTTCGATACATAGAAATGAGTTCATTACACATTCTTCTCTAATTTGATTTTCTTAGCCAATTTTGCTTTGGCAATTTGTGTCTTAAATTCAAGACACCGAAAGACAAACATATTCATTCATAGATTAGTAATAAGACGTCTGAGTCACATCGAAAAGCCGGCATTCGACATGCTGTGCGAGACTTTCACTTTTACTCCTGGAAACCGTAGTTAATAACATAAAATCCCAATCCAATCACGTGTCCTTCTCCAAATAATGCATCATGTAGAGATGGTACAAGCTATCATTTTATAATAAATAATAATCAATAATATTTTTAATATATATATATATATATATATATATATATATATATATATATATTTTTTTTTTTTTTTTTTTTTTTTTTTTCTTACTGACTCATTTCAATTATTCATCATTTTGTTATGTCTTCTTTTGGTAAAACCATTGTTGGTACAAAAGAGTGGAGTTATGTAGTTTGTATGTACGTACTTGTTCGACACATACACACAGACGCACTGTGAAAACATATAAATTTCTAGAAATAATACGAACGATGACATCAACAGACTGACAGTGTTCCAAGCAGCAGCACTGCTTGCAGTACATTTAAATGAATGCCGGCAAATGAAATTGTACGACCCAATAGAAATCCGCACACGCTGCAGAGCAAGGCAATAGTTAAAACGTATGTAGCACAACCTTTAACAGAGTCGGCATAACATCCGAAATTCGTGGTGGATGTAATATAACTATGGTCATTTATATCCACAGTTTACTTGTTTGTACAAAGTGCGAATGAGTAATGTATGAATGAAATGTGGCAACAATTGTGTTTTAGTGTATTTTGTGTTTTTCAAATGTCCATATTAGCTAAGTTTCGAAAAATTTAAACACATGACAGACAGATAATAACATGTTAAAAGAGAATGGTATTGTTTCGTAGCGAGGGCTTGAAGGTTAACAACAGCTACAGATGCAAAGGAAGCGCTTGTATCTGGAACCTATCTTGACCAAATCGGCTAGGTTTCTATTAACGCTGATAAAGACTACATTTGTTGAGGTTTGTACTTATTTGAAGTCCTTCAAGTTTATTTAAATAAAGACATTTTTGGAGTTTGAATTCGCCCTCAAATATTTCGCAATGATGAACATTGAAGTAAAATTTATAAATAACTAAATTAAATGTTTTTAAAAATCTATGTACGTATGATGTGAATATTGTTCTTAATAGAATTCGCCTTGAATTTATTGTTCTGCCCAACTATATTAATTATTAATTCGATACACAATAACCACAACAAATAAAACTGAGAAGTTTTTTACGTTGACCATATTTTTCTACAATGTAAATATTTACAGGCGTTCGTTTTTGAGGTAAACACGGAATTTAAAATATTACAAATATGTTCGATGTCAATATTATTTTCCAAATAAGGATCCAACATAATTGCCAAGATACGCAATTATCCATAATAATATTAAATTGCCATATCCATATGTAAATAGGACTCATTATTGAAAAGCCTGGTATCTTTAGCTTTTGTTATGGCATAGGGGATTTACTATGCGGCATTTAAACTAAATCTTTGCAACTACGGATATTGATTTTCCTATAAGCAAATCATGTTTTTCGCTGATTGTGACAAAGTTTTTTGTAAATATTTTGATCTTCGTAGAACGTTAGTGTTATGAAAAATTATTAATTGCAGATAAGCATACACATACCTGGAAACTTTCGCCGTCAGCATTCAATGACACTTTGTCCATTTGTTCCTCCAGTCCACTATTTTCCTGAACTGCATTTATGGACATTTTGTCCATTTGTTCCTCCAGGCAACATTTTTCCTCAACTGTATTTATGGGCGTCTCTTTGGTTTCCTCCATTAAATGTTTCTCGTCAACATGTAATGCATTTGATGCAGCTTCAACATCGCCTTGTACTAGACCATCGCTAACTTCAGCATATTTCTGTTCAATATTCTCATCCAATGTTTCTAGAGTTTGCTCTACATCGTGTATGAGTTCTGGGGAGGAAGGAAGTTTTCCCTTTTCGACATTTTCTAAGGTATCTTTTGACTCATAATTGTTGAGGTCTTCCTCTGGCATTAGATTTTCAAAAGCTTCGCCATTCGATGGCAGAGCATTTTCCAGTTCCACGTGCATTTCTTCGGTAGATGGAGAATTAGATATATGTTCCTTTTCTTCTGTTTGAAGTTGTTCTTTTTCGCCAACTATGTCGTTGCCAGTGAAGTCATCCATGAATGAATTGTTGACGCTATCGATTTCGGTCGGTATAGGCTGGACACTGTTTAAAACATCTTCAATAGGCTCGTCATTTGCCAGGTATATTGACTGTTTCATGACGTCATTCTCGACGAAGGAGATCTTTTCAAATTGTTCTTCCTTAGGTGTGTCATCATCGGGATCAACAGACGTTTCTGGTCCTTGATCTTCGGCCAACTGTAATATGGGGTCGCTACTAACAACTTCATTGTTGGGAATATCGTATGGTACATTGTTATCTGACAGTACTACTTCGTCCTGCGTTAGTTCATGGGGGCGTCTATCAGCTTCCTCATCGAATTCCTGTTCGGCTGGTAAAGAAATAACATCCATGTCGTTACAGCGACCTTTGCGTGGACTGTGTGCAACGAAATCATCGTCATCCAGTATACGACGTGGAACAGCAGATGGTGCCTGTCCAAAGAAATCTACACCATCCAAATTAGACGATTGAATATCGTTAGGGTGTGGTGAAAGTGGAGATGCTGGATTAGATCCAAAGTTGGGAACAAATTCTTTTGCTTCCGGATTAAGTTGGCAATGTGTTGCCTCGACATTGACATTTGGCTCCAATGGGATGTCCATATCATACAAGGGCGTAGAAATGTCCTTAGTCTGCACGTCATCGGGCAAAAGGGACTCTTTTACATTTTCAGTTTCGCTTCCAAAATGTTGTGCCACGTTTTCACTTAGAGAACTGGTGCCATTTGAGGCCAATGAACTTATGTCTTCCTCATCACCTCCATTGAGATAATTTTTCTTCATCTCTTCTATCTCCACATCAGATTTTTCAAAACCAAGTGCGGAATTGATGTCTAGAGGATTATTATTGATATTTTCCATTATTTGTTGTTGCAGTTCTTCAGTATTGCTAATTCCATTGTTTTCGTCGTTGGAATTGGTACTGGTGGTAAAAGTACTCACAACATTTGCGATTTCTTTTTCATCTTTCATGTCAACAGCAACATCGCCATGGCCAATTTTGTATTTGTGTGTTGCCTCTTCATTTTCTGCCAACTCATTGCCGCTGTTGTAATCACCAAAGTCTTTGCCACCCGTCTGTTGTTTTTCGCTCTGTTGCACTTCTTTAACGTACTTCAATTCGTCATCATCGCCAACGTCATGTTCTTCGGCTTGAAGTTGTTCGTCGTATTTAACGCCCAAGATTTCGCCACCACTGCTAACATCACCAACCCCAATACCACCACAGCCGGCAACAGCATTCATATTATCTATGACAAAATTTTGTTGTCTATGTTCTAATAATTGATCCATTATTTCATGGTCCTCCATTTTACTTAAATGTACACTCGAGTCAGCAACTCCTTTCTTTCGCTTGAGCCGATCCCTTCTTCTCTCTTTCTTCAAAGCAGTTTACACCTAATTTTTTCAATTTCGCAATCCACTGTTGTCCTGCGCCACCAATTTGTTTCGTTGGTTCTTTCTTGTTATTCCTTTTGTTCCTTCTTCTACAAATTGTCCTTCTTTCCTACAACCTACATAGAGGAAAGAAAAAAACAAAAAAATTACTTACTAATATGACTATATTAATTATAAATATATTTCAATTTCAAATGACTGTTCACTCGCTCGCTCGCAGCAAATGCAAGCAAAATTTGCTTCGCGTGATTCACCTTCTATTTTGCCGATTCTCTTTTAAAATGTCTTCTATTCTTTATATATCTATTTTTACATACACATATATTTTGCACGCAATGAAAAATCTGTATAACGTTCAAGAGGAAGACGTATTTTGTATCCTACAGGCAAATACACTTCGGGAAACTTTTTTTTTTAACCAAGACCACCAGCATCACTGAATGAACTTTTGGCTATTTTTAAATAGTTAATTTGCCAATGGAGAGCATTTGAAAAGACGCGCCTACTTTTTCTCTTCTCTTTTCTGGTTTGGCAATGTTCAAATTTTGCCGACTACTTTGAGTTTTTTTTCCTTAATGTTAATGCACTTCAAACTCACTGTATGTCTTGTTGCGCTTTTTATTTGTCCATATAAATGTGTATGTAATTGTTTAATTATTAAACAATTCCTCTCTCAAACTCCTTACAAAATCAACGAATACGCTTTAACCAACCACACAAGCACACAATGAACTGAAGTGGAAGAATAAAAGGGATAAAAAATCATATCTCCTATATATAGACTTTTGCCGAACGCAAGGCCTATTGAAAAGTTCATTTTGTCGGCGAACTGCTACAAGAAAGCGACTCTGCAAGCGAATCACAATGACAAAATCTGCGGGTAGGGCAGATAGAGCGAAAAAGAATTATAATTCGCCGACATAAGTGTGAATTAATTATGGCAAAATAACACATTTTGTATATGTGTATGTATTGTTTCGAATAACAAATTCAACAAATGAAAATATATAAAATTAAGTTCAAAAAATTTGTATTTTCTAATTTAATGCATACTACAATTTCGGGATAAATCAATATTGTTTTTCTATGTTGAATTCAATTTTGTGGAAAAATTCCAACATTTATTGTTATTATGTTTTTACAATAAAAGCTCTATCAGACGAAATGTTTCATACATATATAATGGCAAATTTTCCATATGTAGAAGTTGCCCATATCGTGTGACACATGGAAATCATGAGTACAGTATATAAAATTTCATATGTCAAAAGAAAAGTTGTAATTTTAATTCGCCTTATATATATGCAAAACAAAAATTATGTGGAGTGCGATTTGTGGAATCAATTTGAATTCCAATTTTGTTCTCTTATTTTTACCCTCTCTTGTCAAAAATGTAAAAAGAGAATACCAGTGCCGTTAACATACATCAATGATGGTGAAGGCGTCATCTATTTTTTTTTTTTTATTAATTTAATTTTTATTACGCCAATATTATAAATTTGAACTGCAAGAACATAAAACTTTTTACTAAATAACCGATTTTTCCTTAATGATACAAAAAAAAAAAAAATACAAAACTAGCAGATTAATACAAGCAATTATTTTTTATTACAAAAAAAAAACATAAAAATTGTACTCATACCTTTCTTTTAAGTGAACTTTTTTGTTCCAATGTCAATGGAAACATGCTATAAGCCACCAAATCAATCGTCGACGAAGCCGTCATATGCCACAGAAAGACGGCAATGAAATTTGCCGCCGTATTTCAACCGTTTGCTATCTTTGGACTTTCTTTTCAAATGTAAACACAATGGATAAGTAATGTCATTAATTTACGTAAACATCTGAAGGATTATGATTGTAATTCGGTAAATGTTTAAATAAAAATGTTAAAATTGACAAGTGTGTCTGCTATTTATTAAACATTACGGCGTAGTTGTTGTTTCACATTTAGTACTATGCCACTTCACATTCTAGGTCTTTGAACATCATTCGCCGGTTAAGCCCAGTCTCTAACCTCACATCATGTCGTCAATGTACCCTGCCAATGGCAAGAAGAATTGCCACTTGTGAAATAAGATGGAAGCGAAGGAAAACTGCCGAAGAGAAGGTTAGTATTTTTTTTATAATGAACTTCAATTAATATGATTATGTTTTTATTACAGAAATCTCCAAAAATTATAGAGTATTCTCCTAAAAAGAAGAACGTTGTTGATCTTCAAGGAACTGTTGATATTTGGAGGCACATTACTGTTAAACAATTAGCAGATTCTATGAATAGATCTATAGGTAAGCAATAAACATGAATTGCATTCCATTCTGATCATTTAACTTGGTACATCGTAATATTGTTTATGGATTTTCAATCACATGGCCATGGCCCTATGGGCTAGGTAACTCTTAATTGAATATAAATATATAAAAAAAACATGTCCACTACACATAGTTGGAATAATTATGCTGATTTAGTTGTTGCAGCTTTCTACAACACTAATCATGTTGTGGGCACTTGATGTCGGTGGCCCCACCCCCTGGTGTTAAATAAAGTTATATTGCTAGAAGTGCTCAATAAGTTAGAAAGTTTAAGTTGGTATTCCGACGTACAATTATTGTCAGCTATTGACAACTTGTACCTACAAATTCCAATTTACATAAACAATGGGGAATAATTTAGCGTTTTATGAAAGTTATAATTATTATTTATAATGGTTGTGAGTAATAATACTATTATTATTTTTGTCCTCTTTCCTTTCTTCTATAAACATTGTCTTAATGCAAATAAACTTGCCATAATTGCAACTAAATTTTAACCGGACACCCACATTTCCAATTTGAATGTCAAATCTTGTTTTCCGCAATGAGCAAAATTATTCTACTCACTTCAAATAAAGTTATTTTCTGGTACCACTTCGCCCATGGTACAATAAAAAGGAAAAGTTGAGCTACCAGCTGATAACATTTTTTTCTAAGTGTGCCCGAATTGTAGGAAATAAAAACCAAATATTTTAAAAATCAATGATTGGAAGAAACGCACATTGTTGGAAAAATTTCGTTCGAAATTAATTTTAGCTTTAGCTTGATATAATTGAAATTTTCGGTAGAAACGACCAAATATCTATTGTTAGAAGTGAAAATCAGTTGTTTTCACCAGAATTTTCATTTTATAAATCAAAAATCAGCAAGCAAAAATTGATTTTCATCTATATTTTAATCTGTCGCAAAGGAGCCGAATTCATGACATTTATATTTTTGCGTGAATTCCATCAAAAATGAAAAAACTTTACAGAATGTCTCACAATTTTTATAATTCAAAGTTGTAAACATATAACCTCGTGCAATCATATCTTTACAATGTTAACCTGTACTTGTGCTAAGGGTATTTTTTTTTGAATGATTGCCAAACGTTTCTTTTTAGTAGGATTGAATTTAGAAGAATGCAGCTCTGTACTAGAGTTGTATTATGTCAAACATGCAACAGTTGGTATTGTTTATTTTACATTTGTCACAAAAATCTTGTATTGTGGGGAAAACCACAAAACGTGAATGTAATTTTGGGGTTAATCCGCAAAATTGAGTCCAAGAGAGAAGGACAATATTGTTCAGTCTCAAACACCTACATGGGGTTGCAACCGAATATGAAGTATATTTAAATAGTTTCCCTTACTATTCAAAATAAACACATAAACAAACTGTGTAACAAACTGTAACGGCAGAATAGAGGCATCAAAAGAAAAAAATTTACTCAGTAGGTAGCTTTATTTTACTTTCCGTTATTGTACCATGGTTTACAAGGAATACATGGTAGGCGAATGCTTGCAACAAATTCTAATGTTAATTTATAAGTAGAATATGATTTGACAATGAATACCTGACATGTCCTTGAACTTAACTTGTCCTACTTGGCATGCATTGCAACATGGGCTATAGGGTAATAAAGTGACTTTGAAACTTCAAAATTTTTGTAGCGTTCTTCAACCTTAAACAAACTCATTTGTAGTTGCATATATTTGCGATGTTTTTGTAACATTGTTCAATGGATTATGAATTTCCAGAGGACGTACAGGAAGCTATGCTCTTTGTCAAGGACGCCGACAATATTGAGCCGACTGCCCAATTGCATGACATCAAAATCATACAAGAAATTGCCAAAAAGCTCGGTACTCGCATTCGCATTGTCGCTGAGCCAACGCTTATTAGTGGGGACAATGAGATGAAGGATAAAGATGTGACACCAAGGCCACCTGCCCCATCAGATCTATTGAAACCACGTCCCCCAGTAGTAACAGTAATGGGGCACGTTGATCACGGAAAGACTACTCTACTGGATTCTCTGAGAGGAGCCAATGTGGCATCCGGTGAAGCTGGCGGCATAACACAACATATAGGAGCATTTACAGTTACTTTGGAAAATGGCGAAAAGGTAACTTTCCTCGACACTCCGGGACATGCTGCATTCAGTTCTATGCGAGCAAGGGGAGCAGTTGCAACCGATATAATAGTGTTGGTTGTTGCAGCGGAAGATGGGGTAATGGCTCAAACAAAAGAAGTTATATCACTGGCAAAAGAGGCTCAAGGTAGATTCAAAATAGTTGTTGATATTTTTATACATTTTATCATTTCTCATATTTTAAAGTTCCTGTAATTGTGGCTATCAACAAGATCGACAAACCCGAGGCAGATATTGTGAGTACTTTTAACACATAGACTCTTCGAACGTTTGCTTATGGCAAATTTGCTCATTTTCAGGAAAAGACAAAGCGCGAGCTATACCAAATGGGATTGGCTCTGGAGGACTTTGGTGGGGACATCCAGGTCATACCGATTTCCGCTTTAAAGGGGACCAACCTTGATTTATTGGCAGAAGCAGTTAGTACCCAAGCGACAATAATGGGTTTGAAAAGCGATTATTCCGGATTAATGGAGGGTGTCGTTGTTGAATCGAAGACTGATCAAAGAAGAGGGTATGTTTCTTAAACCTCCTTAGTTTTATCTGAATCAATATTAAGGTGTTTCACAAACATTTCAGAGACAAGACCATCTGAAATGTTTCAAGAAATCGACCAAAAGCATACTTGTCCAAAATGTCCAATACGCTAAGTATATCAGTATTTACAGAAAACGAATTAATCCATTAATTATAAGCTCTAACAATTTAAAATTGGAGAACGAATTAAAAAAGATTTAGATATTAGTACCATTTTTCATCTCAAAATCATATAAATTGTTTTATGTCACCTCAAAATGTAGTGGTATAGGACAGTATTTTAATTGTCGGCTTCAGTAAGCCATACAACTAAATGTGATTTAATTTTTACGCGACATAGATTTACAAGGCCACACCGTTTTAAGTTGTTGTTCGAATATTTTTTTTATTTAATTCGTAATATTCGAATTATTTCAGTTGTAATTCGAGATTTAGTTTTATTTAATTTCGATAGGACTATGTCTTTACCTTAGTTGTTATTTTCTATACCTTCAAATGGTGCTCTAATTAATTATTTCAACTCCATCTAATTATCTCCCTGTTAATTCTCCTCTAATATGAAACGTAATATATCGCAAGACTTTTCCTATTCTGGGACACGTATCAATCTTAATGAAATGAATGAATACTTAGTCTGGGACAACATATTTTCGAAAACAACAACTGCAGTAAAAACATTTTCTATATGTTTGCTTTAAATTTTTTTAATAATTATTTTTAATTTCAAGAAAGCTTTCGACGGCGATTGTCAAAAGGGGAACTCTGCGTAAGGGCTCTGTTCTCGTAAGCGGTCTGGCACATGCCAAAGTCCGAGGACTATTCGATCATAATGGTAAACCGATGGATAAGGCCGAACCAGGAACACCCGTTGAGATCCTTGGATGGAGAGAGTTGCCATTGGCTGGTGATTTAATTTTAGAAGTCGAATCTGAGGTAAGTATTTTCGTTGGTTTTAGGAGGTACAACTGTTTGCCTTCTAATACAGATGTTTTAAACTTTACAGAAAAAAGCCAGCTCTGTCCTAAGATACCGCCAACATGAAGCTCAAAAGGAGAAAGCTGAACAGAGTTTAGAAGAAATCCGCAAAAAAGAAGAAGAACACTTAGCAAAGTACCGTGCCGAACGAGATGCTCGTCGCCTAGCGGGAAGATTTCGTTTAAGACAGGGTCCTCGTGCTAAGGAAGTGTTGGACGACGATGGCATTCCGCGCGTGAGTGTTATTGTGAAAGGAGACGTACATGGATCCGTAGAGGCAATTTTAGATGTTTTAGAAACATATACAGGACACGACAAATGTCGTCTCGACATTGTTCATTATGGCGTTGGCAATGTATCTGAATCCGACGTCGAATTGGCGAAATCTTTTAATGCCATTATTTATGCGTTTGCTGTAGAACCACCCGCAAAAATTACAAGCGACGTGCCCATACGCTTGTGTAATATTATTTACCGTTTAATTGACGACTTGAAAGAGGAAATAAGCAGTAAGTTACCACCAGTAGAAGTTGAAGAGATCCTGGGAGAAGCCAACGTTCTTCAGATGTTTTCAATTTCCGAGGGGCGAAAGGAAGTGCCGGTTGCTGGAAGTCGATGTACAAAAGGTGTCCTGAAAAAATCCCAAAAATTCCGGCTTGTTAGGAACGGCGAAATTGTATATGATGGTAACAATATATATTTTCAATATTTTTTTTAATTTACGTCAATGCTTGAATTTGGAATTATTTATAGGCACGTTGGAATCCATGCGTCACCTTAAGAATGAAGTGGACACTATTAAAAAAGATGTGGAATGTGGTCTGCGTCTCAAAGACTCCAAAGTTATACCACAAGCTGGCGATATTCTTGTTTGCTACTCCACACGCTCGGAACCACAGAAAACTGATTGGGACCCTGGATTTTAATGGGCCCAACGACTCCAAAGTTATACTACAAGACTCCAAAGTTATAACACAAGCTGGCGATGTTCTTGTTTGCTACTCCACACGCACGGAACCACAGAAAACTGTTTGGGATCCAGGATTTGAATGGCCCCAAATGTTTTTGCGTTGTATAATTCGAAGATAGCGTAATACTTCAAAAAATAAAACTCGACAACAACATATGAATTCTTATGTATATGAAATATATATTATGTACTGCTGCCTTTTTTCCAAAATGTAGGTAAAATTAGCGAGATGTTAATGATTGTTGTTTGTTTTACAAATAAATATGTATACTTTTAAATTCCCATATTATTCATTATTCTTTTGTTTATTATGAATCTTGATGTACAATCGATAAAACCGTTTTTGGCGAAAAATTCCAATTTTGAAATATGGGTCACATGTCACATCCTGTTCAAACTCATACATACAAGTAGGTGTTTATGGGCTGTGCAGCAAGTTTAATAGTGAGCTGAGGCCTTTACGAAAATGCTAGTAATCTACAATAGTTCATTGAGCGACAATTATCTTTTTGAAACTTTTTTGGCAGATTGTAAGTCTAGCCAAAATTCGGTGTACCCTAGACAAATATTCAACTTTCACAATATTATGGTTCATATCTTAAAACCAACCAAATAGTAAAAATGTATGATTTTCCAATATTCTCCAATTACAAACATTCACATTTTTCTTTTATTCATTCCTATATTCAACACACAAAAGGGAAAAATAAATTCTGTCAATGTTGCAATGGATGGGGGTAGACTCCGAGGATGGCATTGATCCTGTAATTGCTGATAGCATTTATGACTGCATCGGTATGAATACCACTCAGACCTAGAGGTTCTCTCTTATAGCGTTGGACCTCCCTCTCTAAATCGTGTATGTCCTTCCTGACACGTCTGGGTGGGGGAGTTGTATCCACCATATGTTGGTTGGGATGACTCTCACGGTAACACCCAAGCAGGTACTGCAATGAATGCATATGATTATGCTGAGACAAGAGAAAGACTTTAGCCTCCTCATGAAGATGATCCACTGGTCTCATGAGGAGGCACCCTGTCGCAGTTCTCATAGCAACATTCTTGCAGGTCTGGATGTGCTTCCACTGCGTAGCCCTAGTATTCGCAGACCACACTGGAGCCGCATAGCTGACCACAGACCGACTTATCGCTTTATAAGAGGTCAACAAGGCTTCCTTCCGCAACCCAAGAGCTGCCGGCTAGCGCCCTGAGAACCTTGTCCCTACTTTTAATCTTGTCGCAGATAGCTGTGGCTTGCGGGGATCAGTTATTTTATTTTATTTTTCTGGCTTAATATGTCAACTTCATTTGCTTATGTGTGTGTCTTCTTTTCAATAATAAAAAATTGTTCAGAAAATATTCAAATTCGGATGTTTTCAAAATGCTTATTGCAACGAATGCATCGACAAAATCTACAGTTTTTGTCGCGAAATAAACCATAAGAGATATATGGAACATGATATTAAAAAGAAATTTTGACCATTCATTCAGTTTTCGCGGTTTTAAATTACTTATTCAAAATTAATGCAACAAGTTGTTTGCTTTTTTATTGTTTTGATAGTAATTCTGACATTACAAGCCAAACAGGTAGACCCCTATACTTGCAATTTTTTCAAAGTTGACCTACCTTCTCTTCATTGTACCATGGGTAATGCTGCATAACCTATTTTTCATTCAATTCCTTATGTAGTTATTAGAATACTTTTAAGACCCTTCAGTTTTCCATATCAATAAGAAAACAGCTTGAAGCAAATTAGGGAACACCCAAATGTTACATACAAATTTTCCGTACGAGGACAAAAATGAAATTTTAAGATTAATGGCCAACAATATGAATTCTATACTATTATACATATAGGCAGTTACGCCTGAAAGTGACTTTCCTATGTAAATACTGGGCAAATCTGGCTACTTCAAATGAAACATTTTGTCGCTTGGGGAAATGCCTGGAAATATTTTTTGAATCAAGAATTATTGAGGCCAAATTGCCGTGTATAAAACCCTTGTTGGATTTCTACTGTGCCACAATAGGTGTGTCTGGTTACCCTAAAATTTGTAACAATTGTTACAAATTGTTACTGGAAGTCGTCTGTTAACCCGAAAGTTCTGCAAAAGAGAGCGGTTGGAGAGAGAAATTTTGACAGTTCTTTCAGTGAGAGTTTGCAAATTCTTGCTGGAAAAATTTCTTCTTTCTTCATCGACATTCAATCAGATGTTTTCTATTGTTTATTTATTTCTTTTTGTGCATTTAATTTGAAAATATTGTTTTGGAATTAACAAGACTAATTGTTTTTGGAGAACAACTTTACAAAATGTGAAAAACGTAAATATTAATATGTAATAAGAAAATAAAAGACTATTCCCAACATTTTTAGACAAATGCCATTAGCAACAGGTTTAAAGGATACCGCGGAACACATCAAATCTATCTTCCTTTTAGTGCTCATATTTTTATTTTATCGCCAATTTCCTTTTTATTTATAAAACTTGTGAAATTGGTAGTGGTTCCTTTCGTTTAATTCTTTTAATGGGGGACAAATTGGTTTGTTTTGACAAATCAGCTGATTTTTTGCAAGCTTCTGCAGGAATACCGTCTGTTTACTTTTCGCAATTTCCTTGCAAAAGAGAATAAAACTACCTTACTCTCTCAGAAAGATGTTGCTGGACAATTCCTGCAGGAAAAGTAACCAGGCACACCTAATATCTAGTTCCCACATTCCACAGCTAATTATCCAATTATTCAAATTTATTATTAGAAAACAAATAAATTACAGCTTTCATTAGGAGAGAACGGGAGAAAAGGCTAAGTATGGCGATGATTAAACAATATTCAAATATAAAAACAAAATATTAAAAAGTATTGCAAAAATGTGAATTTACTATTTGGTGTCCATGCAATTTTATGTTGTTGAAAGTAATAGCATTTCAATTTTATTTCCAACAAATGAGGGTTTAATAAAATGTGTTCCTAAATTAAAGAGTTGCTAGAAATCGTGGAAAAAAATTATTAATTTCAAATGGTTATCAAACTACATACATATAAACATTAGGAATACTATTTGAGTAAAGCTTTATATCAAAATATGGATTTTGATTCTATCCTATAATCATTGTACCATGGGGTTTTATGTAAAATAGTCGCACGCACGGGAAACAAATCAAGGTGTGTTTATATTAGGTGCATGTGACAATTGGTTATTTTGGCAACTTTTTGTAAATATGGCACGACTTCTGCACTGCATCAATCAATATTTTACAGCTTATTCAGAGTTTATGAATGAATTTTCTCGTTTCATCATCATTAACATGCAAGACGTCAAGATTACTTCGCATGGTGACCCATTTTTCTAACTCCGATAAAATATTTGTTGTTTTCAACGATTCTTGTAAATGTGTACAGTGGTGTGCATGTATGTGCTTACATTGAAGCATACATTTAAGAAAAGTAACGATCATGGTTACTTCATGCAGTGAACAACGAGACGTCGCAGATTCTGAGTTCTGTGGCTGCAGCGCAACAGTTGTTTCGCCGTTATCAGTTGTTAGTTCCGCTCACAGTGATCTCGTTTCCTTGTATCGCTTATTTGCCGGGCAATGGGGCCTGTTATCCTAAACAGCTAGCCAACATGTGGGTGAAGGGTGACTGCCGTCCATTGGCGTTTGTAGCTGGTGTGGTTGTTGTAAATATTAGTTGTTGAATGAATAACAAAAAAAAAAAAAAAAAAAAAAAAAAACCAAACACTTATTCGAAAGTATTATTTTTCAATGAACCGTTTAGTTATTTTTTTTTCAATTTCTTGCTGTTGTTGTTTCTAATTATATAAAACGGATTTGAGTGTAAATCAACAATTTGAATATTTTAACCGGAAGTGTGTTTTGTTTGAATTTGAGAACTTATACCGCGATAAGAAATGCTAAAACATAGCTTTAGTTTTGAATTGAAGTGGAATACCACTTCGAAAATGGCAATCTCCGGAAATACAATTGTCGACTATAGAACCTATAAAACAACATACCTATGTATGTTTTGAAATCAGGACAGAACATCGACAATGTAACACCTCTAGATAAGACGATGTAGAAATGCCTATAGTATTGTGGTACGATTTTGTGCCAATTTCTTGCCAAAAAATCTACCTTTTACAGCAATAAATTTAAACACATGTGTACGAGATACCATTATGCGATTTACAGAACACTTAACATATAATAAATGCTAATCTTTAAAAGGTTTGTAGTGGTACTAGAAAGACAACCTAGGTCTGGTGGTAGCAAATGTTGATTGGACACATCAACAAACGAATTAATAACTTCAACATCGTCAGCGAACATGAAACATTTACAATGAATAACGGGAGATACCGTTAAATGGGAGCTAGCCGATATCGTGAACCGATATTATCCATCTTCAAATTTGACCTGCCGAAAATACGCCTGTGTACAATATCAGATTCCAATGGCTATCCCTTTGCACTCTTGCTTGCTAACAGACGGACCGAAGGACTTTGAATTCTACGCTGATTATTATTATTTCGATTATTTCTACGAGTTAAAAACGGAATGACAAACTTTAAATTTTTGGAGTTTAAATTCTTAAAATGAAAATGTAAAAACGCTTTTACATTACATTACTGCTGGAGATATCAATTTTTTAGCAATTCTTCATAGAACCTTTAGTAAATCGAGGAAAAAGCAACAAAACTTTTAAAATTGAATCTAAAATGCACACATACATAAGGAATTCTTCATTATACACCAAAAAAAAAGGGCAATGGGGTGCCCTTATTATTATATATATATATATATATATATATATATATATATATATATATATATATATATATATATATATATATATATATATATATATATATATATATATATATATATATATTACACTGCTAACTCGTTATAAATTAACAACTTTGAAGAACATCCACAATTTGCAACCAATTTCGGAATTTTCAAAAAAATGAAATCTGTTCAAATTTTTGTTAAAATCTTTAAAATACTGGGGTCTATACGAAGGACCTGCATAGGCAACTTTTGTCATAAGCCATTACTATTACAATATTCAAATACGAAAAATCCGGTAAATAATGTAGTCCAAATACCGAATATAGGGAGGTACTGATATATGGGGCCTATACGACGACTTGGACCTGCAGAGACAATTTTCTGTCATAGACGAAGGAACTCCAAATACTAAATTTGAAACAACTCCGGTGAATAATGTAGCTAAGAAAATATAAAATACCGAATACCGAATACCGAATACCGAATATTAGAATGTACCGATGTATGGACGCTATACGACACTATATGAATTTGAAACATCACCGGTATATAATGCCTATAAAATCGGTAAAATGCCGAATATTGGGGGGTTACCGTTGTATGTGGGTTATACGATATCGTGGACCTATATAGACATTTCTCTGAGTGACTATAATTCCAGGGGATAAAGAGCTTAGAAAGAACTTCTAGTATGGATTTTTAGGCAATTCAATTAAAAAATGTAGCTAAAATCATCAAAATACCGAATATAGGGAGGTACCTTGTTTATAATTTCAGACAATTCCGTTAAAAAATGTGGCTAAAATCATCAAAATACCGAATATCAGGGGATACCGTTATTCGGGGGCTATACGATATCGTCGACCGATATTGCCCATCTTCGAACTTGACCTGCCTGCAGACAGATCTGTGAGATCTGTGCAAAATTTTAGCTTCCTATTTACGGACGGAAGGACGGACGGGCTAAATCGTCTTAGAATTTTCGGCTGATCAATAGTATATATACTTCGTTATGTCTAAAATTATTATTTCGATGAGTTAAAAATGGAATGACGAACTTAATATATGGTGGAGGGTATAAAAATGTCACATCGAATTTTACACTAGAATTACTGTAGACTCAAATCAGCGGGTTTTAATGTTATGGCCAAGTTATACGAGCTAATATGATATACACATGGTAGAACTAAGAAGGTCAAGTCATGTAATAATATGTTTAGAATTTTTTCAAATTCATACATTTGACAACATCTCTTTTGCTCTGTTCCAAAACCTGCAAGAATTTACTAATTTTGGAATTTTTTTCGATGTCATAAAGAAAAACTCGGTTATCGTAGTAAAAAGTTTTAATTTATCGCAGTTCCGGAAGAGTACAATTGTTTATATTTTGAAATTCGCAACACCTAGTAAGTTAGCGTCCAAATTACATAGATGAGCTTCAATATAAAAAGGGTTGTCATTTCCGATTTGTTGGGAAAAAAAGATTATCTTGGAAAATCGACCTAATACTAATACTAATAGTTGGAAAATATATATGTATCACAATATTTGAGAGCATTTTGGACAAGTGTGAAATCAGACACATCTCGGAATATAACCACTCAATAGCCACATTATTTTTTTTATTAACATCACAGAGTCTCTACGGATATTGATATTAGAGACATGGACATGAATATCCCAATTATCGTCACTCAATGTCACATTCTGTCTGGCCATTTTAAATTAAAACAAACATTTTGTTGTAAAAAAACGCTATAAGTTCCATTCATGGTTTCGCTTTACGAATTTCATTGTCGTCGCACTGCGTTGTTGCATGATGTTGCCAGTAGCGGTATCATCATTACCTTCCTGTGTGTTCTGCTCTCACAGTAAAGTATTTTAATAATTTTTTTAATTACTCATCAGGCCGCCATGAAACACTTTGTGATTTTTCTAATCGTAGTTTTAGTTACAACTTCGGCCCAGAGTCCTTTAAATATCCATAAGAAAACAAAGTGGAAACAGTCCCCTACAAGGTATTTGTGTGCGTGTGTGTGGTGCATGGAGGCATTGCACTGCCTCGCTGCAACTCTTGCTCAGGGAATCCCTTGTTTCTTGAGTTTAGTTTTCATGGGAAATTACACATGTTGACAATCATTTGTGGTCCGACATTTTTTAATTACTTTATTTATGTAAAGACAAGAACAAACACAAATCGTGTTTGCACATCATCATTGCCTCAGATGGAATATCCTTTGCTGTGCCTTTGTGGTATTCTACGTGGCGGCATCAATTGATGAGTTCTGATGAGTACTTCATGTTGTCCGCAGCACCACTCTCTTAAATAGCTAGCTGACAATAAGTACTTGGTGTAAACGTATAAAATATAAACATATAAGATGTATGGCATTTAAATGCCCTGGGCGGTTCAACGAATGTTATTGGTGTTAATTTACAAGACCTCTTTAAAGAGATCCATGACAAACTCTATCCCTAAAGGAGGAGAGTACAAAACTCATTGCGCACATATGAGGACAATTAGTGAAGGTATGCAATAAAAATTATATAAATGATCTTGATCTTACTGGTGGTTGGCATAAGAATGCGGTTTTTATATCCTAGCCCTGTGTGTTATGTCTTTGCTATAAAAAAGGGGACGAGAATATAAAATCACTTGCAATGTCGATTTACCCAAGTCCGTCCATCTATGGAGTTTTGTAAACAAAATACGGATAGCATTTCTTGTCCGAATGGATTCACTTGTTTGGCCAAAGGAAGAAACCTCTAGATATTGGAGGCAATCCTATGTGCAAAAAATGAGTAATATCTTTCCGAAGAAAATGAATTTTGGAATAAATTCTAGAAGTTCGTCTGCCAAAATTCTTGAAAATGATTCAGTTATAGCTACTGCTCCCATCAGAAAGAAAATCACTTCGCATGCTTTCATGGATCATGCCGCTGAACTAAAGGGGCTCTCTAGCACTAAAATCACACACATGCAGGAGCTTTGGATTCCTAATTCACAAACTCGCCGAGAAATATGTGTTTGGGAAGCTTTTTAAATTTGTCTTCATATCAGCATAGATATAAGTTGATGCACACTGAAAATCCGTTTGGTATTCAAAGTTCCGCGTCGATTGGTTTATAATTTTGGCCAGTAGAACAACTGCAAAATCAGGAAATGTTCCTGTATTTGGTCCATTTTAACCCCTACATATTTTGCGATCACCTCCCAAAAACCATAGGGTTCTATTCTGACCCAAATCCAATCCCAATAATTGCGACCTGCAGCGTGATTATAAATTAACACGGACAGACGGACGGATGGACATACATTGCTAGATGGACTCAGCTCGGCGAGATAGGAAGCTCCATATATGGTTTCCTATGGCAGGGACCAATATTACACTAGGTTTTGGATAGTGCTTTAGGGTAAAAAAAAAAACAAAACGAACAATCCCAGTAACAAATGTGCAAAACTCAGACAGGATCGACTATTTGACACGCTACATTACATTTTTAGAGCGGTTTGAATTTGAAATCGAATGGAACTAATATATCGGAGATATATCTTAATCTAAATCGTTTTCTACAAAATTTGATGGCACAGTTTTTTCTAGACAATATTCAATACCCTGTTGCGAATATCCAAATGAACTGTGCAAACAATTTCATGTCAGACCCAACAAAGTGTATATATTCTTGATCAGCGTAAAATTCTAAGTCGATTTAGCGATGAGCGTCTATCTGTGTGTCAGTCTGTCTGTCCGCCAGTCTGCTGCTGTGTCCACGCAGTAGGCAGGTTAAGTTCGCAAATGGGTTATGTCTGTCCACGTTTTCGTATAGCCCCCATATATCGGCACCTCTCAATATTCCGTATTTTGATTATATAAGCGACATTAATCAACGGAATTGTTTTAAACTTCTTTTTTGAAGGCGTATTGCATACGCAATTTTTTGTCACAGGCTGTTGTACTCATTAGGACCACGATTTCGTATAGCTACCATATAACGATACTTATTGACACTTATATGCTTTTTTATTTATTTACTTGTTAAAATTGTCTTTTGGTTTTTTTTTTCCTATGAAGATATGGACCTTGCATGTAGGATGGCATTGTGGTGAAGAGGTGAGCAATTATATATCCTTATGCAATTTATTCTACTCAAAGAAATATACAGTTTTAATGGATGCTACAGAGTCCGTGGAATGGAAATATGTGCTATAAAACACGTCGAACAAATCATTCGATGTGGCAGAAATATTCTTCCCGAGTTGCTAGTTACTTATGCTTGCCAACTCATTCTCAACCATTCTCTTGGCAATTATTCGAACAAAAATACCTGTTCCTATCTAAGAGACTCCAACAACTGCTAGCGAAGAGAAAATTCTCAACAATAATAACAACAATAACCATGGCGAAAGCACTTGGGCATACGACCAACAGCAGGGGGAGTAACAACAAGTGATCAGGCGAACAGCTACCAAACTTATGTTACGGGAACGAATGAATGAATCAATGCTGCTCCGTTTGGAGTTGGATGCATTCAGCATGGGAGCCATCTCGTATTTATTTTAGCTTGTCTTCTGGCCAAAGAGATCAGACAAAATTTGCAAACATTTCAGTTCAGTCGGTTAGTCAGTCAGTCAATTCATGTCCAGATTGTCGGCTAGAGTGGTGGTTGCTTGTAGCACACCGTGTGGAGTGCTGCATTTGGGGTTCTAAATTTAATTTACTAACGAAATGATTATTTTTAGCCAAGCATCCCAAGTTTCGATTCGGAATTCGGTCATTATAATTTCGAAGTGGAATTGTTTATCAACAAACGGGGCTGTATGACACTTAAGAATAAGTGATCCCTTGTTGGAAGGTTCGGCGGGCTGTTGTTGTTGGCTTGGGTAGCGATAAGGCTTATATCCGTTGGTTGCCGTTATGTTGCATGTGTATGTGTGTGGGACTGCATGTGTGTTGATTCGAATGCGACAATTGAGTGACAAGCCTTTCTACACCAAATACCGCAACATTTTTTTGTATCAAACATTTGGAGTATCCATCCGTAGGACCCCGTCCGTCGTTCCTACACATGCACACTTGACAAAAGCGGAAGTGACCACGCTGGATTCGTCTAGGTGCAAAAGTGTGTGTTCCAACGAACGAACTTCTTCGTTCGCTCCATAGCTGTGTGAATACTGATATATTGTGGCGATCGTGTGTGGTGATTGGCGTCGGGAGCCGTTGGGATACCACCACCACGTGTGTGTATCTGCAGCTGTGTGTGAGTGTGTGTACTGCTGCCACAACCAGCACAAGTTCTGCTGTCGCGTTTCGCCTTTTGGGGAGCGATCGAGAGTTTCATTTACAGTCCGCTGTGGGTAGTGTGGTCAGTTGCTCGCTGGCACTCTTTCTCGACGGTTGTGTTCGTTCGTTGATCATTCCAGACAAGGAATGCCAATACTCATTGCTGTTTTAGTGCAGAAAAAAGCGCGCGGTCCTGCGGGATATATTTTGTGTTGTTGTGCTTATAAACAGCACACCCAGTAAGCTATAAAGAACAAGGATACTAAAAAGGATATCTGCAGATGATAATTTTATTGAAAACGCCAATAATTGTGCATTGGAAACATAATTAACAATAAAAGTCTTTTTTTAAACAATAAAAATAAAAAATTTAAAAATATTGCAAAACATTGATAAATTCTAAGTGAATAAAGATAACATTGCCAATAAAGGATATTGTGCCGTAGTAGTTGAACACCCCCAATAAAATGGATTTATCAGGGCGGTCTCGGTAAGCAAACAAAAAAAAAAATAAAAATAATAAAATAATAATAAAATATATTTATAAAAATGTATTGAAATAACAAAACCATAGCGTATCCTGTAATTTAAATGCTTAAAGCACCCAAGTGAAACGGCGAATTGGATATGCAGCCATTTCACGAAAATAGATTAGAAGTGAACATTTTGATTATTATTGAAACTTGGAGGTCCTTACAAAGTGCCTTCATGGCAGTTTGTGTCATTCCATACTGAGTGATATTAGTTAGAGTCAACATCTTTTGGAGCGCCATTAATTGACTGAAAAAATTGTCCCATATTCTTCAGACAAATTGATAAAACCGTAGCCAGACAAATTGGTAGAAAAGTATTTTTAATAGTTTCTTTTTCAAACAAATTTTCAACTACATTTTGAGAGTTTTTCAATTTTAATAAAGGAAATATCATAACTGTCGTCGGCTTACAGTTTGTATTGTTTCTTTTGGTTCTTTTAATATTTCATTTAAAAAGAGAAACTATTTTAAAAATAGTTTTTCTTTTGAAGCAATGGATTGTGTTATAGCTTATATAAATCCGGATATTTAGGATTTGCTGACTTTATGAACTGATTGTCTAAAAAACCTCAACTCTGACCCTAACAAAATAATGAAACCAGTAAGGAAAAGTCAAAAGCTGGGCGGGGCCGACTATATGATACCATACATCACTATGCTTATTTAATAGAGCTCCCGTAACAAAATGACTTATTTGAAGTATCCTATCAACATTTGACTTAAGAGCAGTTATAATTTAGAACTAATATATGGGAGGCATATCCAATTCTGAATCGTTTTTTACTAAATTTGACGGAGACTTTTTAATCTTTTATACCAAATAGCATTGCTATAGAGTGCATGATGTCAAATCGAGAAGGATTATATTTCCAAAGCTCACTCCATTTGGTCTGATATTAGCCATTGTTTGCACAATAAACCTGAAATCGGATCAAGGATATATATTTATATATCCAAATCTTAGCCAATCTCAATAAATTTTGGCAAATTCAATTTGTAGCAAATATCATTGTTGTTGAATGCATATTACGGATGGGAGGGACTTAAACACCAAATCGGATGAAACATAAATATTGGAGCTATAGCTATATCTGAACCGATTTTCTCCAAATTTGAAGCATTTGCTTCTAGACTGAATTTGGTGGGATGAACCAAAGTTCAGAACTTTTGGACTGATATTAGCCATTTGGTGCACAATTAATCCGAAATCGGTTGAAGATATATATGGGAGATGTATCCAAATCTGAACCGATCTAGATACAATTTGTCAGAGGTATTTCTTGGTTGTATCTGATATCTGGTAGCAAATATCATTTTTGTCGAATGCATATTACGAATGTGAGGGACTTAAACACCAAATAGGATGAAACGTATGTATGGGAGCTGTAGCTATATCTGAACCGATTTTCACCAAATTTTACTGAATTCGGTTGGATGTGCCAAAATTCAGGTTATTTGGTCTTGTATTGGTCATTTGGTGCACAATTAACCAGAAATCGGTTGAAGATATATATAGAAGCTATATCTAAATCTGATCCGATTATCATTTATCTCCACCAATAAAATAAAAAAAATCGTTCCAGACAAAACAAAAAACTTTACAAATCGTAAAAGTGGGAAAGTATTTTTGTTAGAAGATGAATTGCCATAATCGATTCAATCCTCCACACAAACCAGCAAAATTCAGGAATCTGAAATTAAACTAATTTTGTTTTTTTTTTTTAACATTACAAATTCATGTATTCAAAATTTTAATTCAACAAAAAAAAAAAAAAAATAAAATAATAATAAATAGAACACTTAAAAAATGTACTTCCGTATCGACATACAGACACAGGCCCTTAGTTCCTGTTTCTTGATTCGATTTCCAGGTAAAATACAAGTTGGAGGATAATGTTTCAAAAATGAATAGAAATTTCAGATCAGAATGGGAGTTTGGCCAAAAAAGTCTTGGCTCTATAGACCGTTAAGAACAAACAAAAAAAAAGGTTACATTTTTTAAACCTATTGAACCCTTGCCCAGCGTCTCCTGCCACTTTACTTGAATCATCTTTCTCATACCATCATTACAATTATATTCTTTTACAAGTTCTGATAGGTAGCAAAAGGCCAAAAGATGTTCTTCGTAAATATGTGTCGTAATAAAATGATCCGGAATTGCGTTCTGCTGCGGCCGACCCGGCAGAAAATTTGAGAATTTTACTATTCTTTGAAAATGCTGGTAAACTGAAATGTAAAAAGTCACATAAAACGCCGGCTCGAAGCTTGAAGCCACTTGGACTTGTATTTTAATTTATTGCCGTCTCCATTTCTTTTTTTTGAAGGTATCCATGAAACGGGTGTAATAAATTCTTTATAATTCCTCTTTTTCATCTTCTTGAAGCATGGTCGGTGTTTTCTTCTTCTTATTTTTGTTGTTGCGTTCTTTGTATTTTTGGGATTGTATCTTTTTAGTGTTGCAATTACTTGACCTAAGCTAACGAACTGAAATGACGACCAAGTTGTTGACTGGCTAGCTAGCCAGACGGCAAAGTACTGCCTCACGTGTGGAATCCAAATGGGGCAAGGGTGTGGGGGGAGGCGCAATGATATTACAACACATGTAGTAGAAGAGGGCCAAAAGAAGAGTAAACGCTAATATTTTTGCGTTTTGGCTACATTTCGCATTCGCCGCTTTTGTCGTCTTTATGGCTTATTACGGACACCAGACATGCGACTGACCGACCATATGAATGTCTGCCCAAATTCGAACATACCGTCAAATGGTCGGTGTCTATGTTGGTCACGAACATGTGGGCACACCGCAAGAATTCTCTTCACAAGAAAGCAAATTCTTTCACAAGTCGAATGAACATGAAGTAAACAATAATATTATCGGCTTTGCGATCCTAGTTAAAGTTATTAACATTTTTTCATCTCCTTATTGATATTGTATTTCAGAAAGATATTCCTCTTTGATTTTTTTTCTTTTTGATTTTTCACAAACCAAATTAATGGCATGATCGGGACGTTTCTTCACAAAAAAAGAAACATTTTCAAGTGTTAAATATCTGCTTCATGAAACATATGTGCGGCAGAACTTTCACGCACCGTATTTGCCGGATAGAATCATGTTGATTCGAATCTTTTAGAAATCTTCACATATTTTCTGCTTTTTAAATAGTGTTTTGGTATCGGTTCTCAAGTGGCATAGCTCAGTCGATTCTCAGTTATCGATGCCCTGTGCCACAGTTGTCAATGGTTCTGGATCACAAGTTTCAAGCAGGGAATGTTGAATGCTTGGAAAAAATAGCTTTTCTCAATGATTTGCAATCTTTTTTGAAATATTTGCGCAGCATTTGCACACTGGTGGCCGGAGCTATTCGGCCACATGTGTTGTAGTGCAAAGTCGTTAATGCGGTGCTTTATAGGTCCAAAAATCATGCGAACATTATTTGGAAAATTGGCAACAATAAATTACTGTATTTGTATTGTCTTGTATTGGCTCTTGTATTGTCGACACTAACATTTGTGGATGGCCAAATGCGATAGTGAATTTAATTGTTGAATTGTTGTGTTTGGCGAACATTTCCTAATTATTCTTTTTTCGATATTGGCGATATGACGTGTGCTTCACCATATGTGTCGGCTAAGTTGCTTTATTAAATCATTTTGAGGAAATCATCTGAATAATTTAAAATTTTGGCAAAAATACTCAATCGATCTCTAGCAGCAGTGCATTTGGTTTTCCTTAATTAATTTTTATTTATTTTTCCAATCTTTGATACTTATATTCATGACAGGCGTCAGGAACTCATGTACTTCTCGTAAAGTGCATGAGAATTCAGGACCTACTGCTGTTATTGATAGAAGAATTGGTCAAAATTATGGCGAAATGAAAAGTTCGAAAATTGTTTTAAGACACATGAATGGAATTAGTAACAGTCGTACATAAACTCTCCATGGAAAATTTCAAGTGTGTGTCCGTCTGTTAAAAAAAAATGACTTTTTTCAATTTGCTTCATATCCAAATTCTGGAAAACAAGTAAAATATTGTGTATTACATAGTGCAAATGTACAAAAAAATATTCTGATTTGATACGGCCAAAACGTGCCTTATCGAAATAACGGTTTTAGACCCCAGGTCTCTTTGACCACATCCGTTTCAGGACATGTGTCTGGCTGGTGCGCACGATAACTCTCGAAAGGAGTATCCCATTTAATCCAACCTTGGTACATCGTTATATTATTGACAAACTTAAATTGAGTTCGGATATGGACAATATCGGCCCACTGCTTCTGGTACCTCACCTACAAAAGTTCGAAAGGTTCAAAGAAAATAACTTACAGACAGAGAAAGGATAATTCGATTTTGCTTCAACTTTGCAAATCCTAATATTTGCATCAGTGCTAGGCCAGGTACAAAAATGGATAATATCCGACCAGTCTATTATTAATTAATTATTCTTTTTTCGATATTGGCGATATGACGTGTGCTTCACCATATGTGTCGGCTAAGTTGCTTTATTAAATCATTTTGAGGAAATCATCTGAATAATTTAAAATTTTGGCAAAAATACTCAATCGATCTCTAGCAGCAGTGCATTTGGCTTTCCTTAATTAATTTTTATTTATTTTTCCAATCTTTGATACTTATATTCATGACAGGCGTAGGGAACTCAGAGACATGTACTTCTCGTAAAGTGCCTTATCGAAATAACGGTTTTAGACCCCAGGTCTTTTTGAGCACATCCGTTTCAGGACATGTGTCTGGCTGGTGCGCACGATAACTCTCGAAAGGAGTATCCCATTTAATCCAACCTTGGTACATCGTTATATTATTGACAAACTTAAATTGAGTTCGGATATGGGCAATATCGGTTCACTGCTTCTGGTACCTCACCTACAAAAGTTCGAAAGGTTCAAAGAAAATAACTTACAGACAGAGAAAGGATAATTCGATTTTGCTTCAACTTTG